CACGTCTCACAAAGACATGGTGGTTTGAACCAAAAATCTCAAATTTGGACTCCAGACCAAAGGACAAATTTCCACCGGTCTAATGTCCATTGCTCGTGTTTCTTGGCCCAAGCAGGTCTCTTCTTCTTATTGGTGTCCTTTAGTAGTTGTTTACATTTACATTTTAGTCATTTAGCAGATGCTCTTATCCAGAGCGACTTACAGTTAGTGAGTGCATACATTTTTCATACTGGCCCCCCGTGGGAAACGAACCCACAACCCTGGCGTTGCAAGCGCCATGCTCTACCAATTCGACCATGAAGGCCTGATTTACACAGTCCCCTCTGAACAGTTGATGTTGAGATGTGTCTGTTACTTGAATTCTGTGAAGCATTTATTTGGGCTGCAATTTCTGAGGCTGGTAACTCTAATGAACTAATCCTCTGCAGCAGAGGTAAATCTGGGTCTTCCATTCCTGTGGCGGTCCTCATGAGAGCCAGTTTCATCATAGCGCTTGATGGTTTTTGCGACTGCAGTTGAAGAAACTTTCAAAGTTCTTGAAATGTTCCGTATTGACTGACCTTCATGTCTTAAAGTAATGATGGACTGTCGTTTCTCTTTGCTTATTTGAGCTGTTCTTGCCATAATATGGATTTGGTCTTTTATCAAATAGGGCTATAGGGTATACCACCCCTACATTTACATTACATTTACATTTTAGTCATTTAGCAGACGCTCTTATCCAGAGGGACTTACAGTTAGTGAGCGCATACATTTTTATTTATTTTTCATACTGGAATCGAACCCACAACCCTGGCGTTGCAAATGCCATGCTCTACCAACTGAGCTACATCCCTGCCGGCCATTGCCTCCCCTACCCTGGACGACGCTGGGCCAATTGTGCGCCGCCCCATGGGTCTCCCGGTCTCGGCCGGCTACGACAGAGCCTGGATTCGAACCAGGATCTCTAGTAGACCACTGCGCCACTCGGGAGGACAGTGTCACAACACAACTGATTGGCTCAAACGCATTAAGAAGGAAAGAAATTCCACAAATTAACTTTTAAGAAGGCACACCTGTTAATTGAAATGCATTACAGGTGACTACCTCATGAAGCTGGTTGAGATAATGCCAAAAGTGTGCAAAGCTGTCATCAAGGCAAAGGGTGGCTATTTGAAGAATCTCAAATATTAAATATATTTTGATTTGTTTAACACTTTTTTGGTTACTACATGATTCCATATGTGTTATTTCATAGTTTTGATGTCTTCACTATTATTCTACAATGTAAAAAATTGTAAAAATAAAGAAAAATCCTTGAATGAGTAGGTGTGTCCAAACCTTTGACTGGTAGTGTATATTTATGGTATTTTTACCCCCCAAATGTGTTAAAGGTACTGTGTTCCGAAACCTAAGCAGACAGTTTTGGTAATTGAACATCTCTGCATAATTCCCTTTGAAAAGAGAACTGCTTCATTCATAAAAGCATTAGCTTCAGTTGATGTATTTGCATTACAAAAATGTAGCATTAAAACTCAACTTAATGTCTTGGAGGACATTGTAGCACTGAGCTGCTTTGTGTGGGGCTTAACTCCCTGGTTCAATCCAAGTGCATCTGTGTACACTTCAAATATGGAAACTTAAGTCAATGCCAAAGTTCAATGAATGTATTACCAATTCCCCAAAAGTACCAGACCTGTTTGTTACACCATATTGATGACTAGAACATGAAAGTGATTCAAACTAAATGGACTTTCTAAAGTTTCCCCCAGAGGGCAATACGCAAAAGTCGCTACAGACGTACAACTAAAAGGGGAGCTGAGGGAGCCTAAGAAATCTAGGTCATGTCACATGACCTGTTGTCTGAATAACAATAGTGGATGGAGGCCCCGAGATAATATGCCGCACAGTTGTGCTGATCATCTTTGTTCGTTCATTTTCCTCTATCATTTTACTTACCGCCAGACCTAAATTAGGTTTGACAGCCATTGGGCTGAGCCTTTTGGTCCTTTAAGTCCTTCTAAAAGCACACCAGCACCAGTTGTATTACCACTAGTGATGGGGAGGGGGGATCGATACAGTTACATATCGTGATATTATTTTTGACAATATATATCGTATCGCTAATTTTGCGCTAGTTGGTACCTAGACCAAAACGTCAGTATTTTTCCTTCATAGCTTGTTCTCCATCTTCTTTTTAAATAGGGTTCCAATTTGTTTTCAGCACTTTTATTTCCATGACTGATCAAAACTCGTTTTCTCATGGCTCTCTCTTACAGCAGACATATGGTGAGCAATATGTTTGGACCATGGAATCGCAATAAAATCACAGTATTGAATCGCAATACATATAGAATAGTGAGAATCGCAAATACAGATGGTATCTGCACCGAAGTATCGTGATAATATTGTATCGTGAGGTCCCTGGCAATTCCCAGCCCTAATTACCACCACAGTTGAATTTTTACCAATTATCTCATGTGATTCTGCTAGATATCCCTGACAATAACCTGTTGAAATCTGCACTAATTTCAATTCCATAATCATTCAATATGTAGAAAATTGTCCTTTATAGTGTTGAATTGTTTGTTTTTGTCCTTTTTTTTATTGAGATTCAGGAGGCCTGATTTACCCAATAATGTATTCCTCCTCTGGCAGAGGGAGTCCTAGAAACGGTTACAGCATCTAGATACAAATGTGGTGATGATGACCATTGTAAGAGATGTACGCTAGAGGGTAATTTAAAGTATTTGTCCAAATAGGTACATTGGGATTAAATGATTTGAAGCAGGTTAATGCTTGGTTGAAGCAAGCATTGCAGTGAAGGGTGTTAATCAGACACTAATCAGCACTCAACCCAATGCTATTTACTTCTCATGTTTACTACTAGCTTCCCCTGTTTTATAATTACAACCATATTTCACATATTAGGCCTACTACTGTCAACTTTCGTCTGTTGTAGTTTGCAGTTGTAGGAGACCGAAGAGCATCGTCTTTACGTCACTACCCGGGGTTTCCACGCTCTACATCGCTAATGTTACAGTGTGAACTCGACGGCGTCATGGCGGAGACCGGCTGTAGTAGGACCCTCAGCTGAAACGTTATCTACAATCGCTGTCAATCAAAGAATAGTTTGTTTCGAATTGAAAACGGAAAATTAAAAGGTGAACCTATTTTACGCATCTGGAGGAAGAAATCAAGAAACTTGGCTCGAATTCCAGTAAGATCGTTGGGGCTGCTCTCCCCGGCCCGGGAGCTAGCTAGCAAGCTATCTTTAGCTGCTAGTTCGCTAGCCAAAGAAAATAAGAAAAAAGGACCACTGAAGTCGGACGGCAGAATCAGACTGGCAGTTCGCCGTAGCTATCAAGGTAGCCTAAAAGACTAAACAAAGCCCATTTTATTTTTACTAAAAGACAGGCATCTATATGAGTATGATTGCTTAGTTTAGTTAAATAGTTAAATAGAAAGCAAGGAGCCTGTCACCTAGCTAGATTTTGGGAAGTAAGCGACTGATGAAAACAACACTTGTTAGCTAACGTTATCCATTAGCAACGAGGGAGCTAGCTTGGGAGTGCGGGAAAAGGATGATTATAAAACGTGATGGGTATGTGAATGTGTTTGAGGTCATGGGAATATGCATATATTGATTAGAAGACTGTTAGAAACAATGATACAATCACAATTGGCTACACGTTTTATGTAAAAACTACCAAACACTTTCCCCATGACCTGGTTTGTTAGATTAGCTAGCTTGTCAGCTACAGTGTAGCTAGTTTGTTTGCTAAAATGTGTAAGGTAGCTAGTAAGCTAACTAGGTCATTCAGATGGCCACATGAACAAATAAAGTATAGCTGGGTACATATTTGCCACAAGTGGAAAATATTTTGCTGAACGTCCCTAACTAGCTACTGTTAACAAAATATTGTTTCACGTGGCTTAACGTTAGTTGCTTTTTCCTCTTTCCAGGCCAGTGTGCTAACTAGTTAGTGGTCTTGACTTCAGTTTACTGTTTAGCTAGCAACTAGCTAGGTAGGTTAGCAAACAACTTTTCAGGGCTAGAGAGAAAAATATGGATTTAAATGTAGCTAGCTCACAGACGGATTGCTATATATTAGTTAATGGCTAGGTAGATAGCATCAGTGTGGTTCATCGTCTGATAGTGTACCGCCAATAGCTAGCAGCTGAAATGGTGCGCTAAATGCTAAACATCTCAGAAATAAATCTGTATTCTGCACACAGACAGAGCGTGCTTTGCCATTGCTAGTTTACTGGCTTGCTGCGCAACTCTGGTTGTCGATGTATGCGAGAGAGAAGAATACTGTAGGCGTGGTACTATCTTGCTTCGGGCCTCCTACGAAAGAGATCTAGAGTGCGGCGCATTGTCTAGGACAGTGCGCGAAACTCACATGCTGTGCAGGCCTCACAACAGGCCTGTGCGGTCGGAAAAGCGCTGGCTGCTAACTTACCGCTACCGTTTGCATTCAGACGAAGGAAACTAGCTAATGTGACAGGGATGAAAACAAAACAGCAGGCTGTATGTATTGTTAGCTATTTTGATATGTAGTTCTAGCTACTAACTAGCTAACATCATATAAGGCTAAACAAACAAGTTTCGAATCGCTATAAACGACACACCGGGTTTATAGAATACTGTTTTTCTTGTAGCTATCTGACATGGGAAGCAGTCAGGGCAAACAGTCACTAGGAAGCAGTCAAACCATAATCAGAAAATGTTTATCAATTTAAGGATATGTTTATCAAATTGGTGGTTTCTCTACGTTTTGACGGATGTTTTAAATCTAAAACACATGCAGCTATTTAAAAGTTTTGAGCACTATTGACAGCATGCCCATCTCATTTAAATACACTGAATGTACACAAATACTCATCACTTCAAAATTGTATTTTTAGTTTTTGCAACTTTTGTGCTTTTAATTTTACAGGTGAACTGCATCCAACACGTAAACCAGGGCAGCTTGGATTATAGCATTTTCTCCAAAACTCATATCTGGGACTAAGAGATGGCTGGACGAAGTGAAGAGGAGGGTGTGAGCAACAGCAGTGGGGAGTCAAGGTAATGTGTGTCTCCATCTGTTTGGGAATATGACAGACAGTGCTGTGACCGACAAATGGTCCAGGGTTTATTCATTAGTGCAAAAACATTTTGCAATGAAATTGAACGTTTCTTATTGGACAAGTTCAGGTAGATCCCTTCCCGTTCCAGCCTGTTTGCTTCTGTTTGGTTCCTAGAGAATAGCATACATCCCAGGTTTTTCATTGAGGACAAACTGTTACATTGGAGCTTGCTAGCTGATGATTATATGTGTGTGTGCATATATATCTCGGAACAATTCCAAAGATTTTACTGAGTTACAGTTCATATAAGGAAATCAGTCAATATAAATAAATACATTAGACTCTATTCTATGGATTTCACATGACTGTACAGGGGCGCAGCCATGGGTGGGCCTGGAAGGGAATAGGATATTTTATTTCAGCTCATGAAACATGGGCCAACACTACATGTTGCATATATATGAACCATCCAAAGGTTTGTGTGTGGGCTAGCCGATATGTTGATGAGCAGTTATTGTTTTGGAGCAATCGCTCTACTGGATGCTCCAAGCGAATATGCAAGTTGTTTCGCATCCTTGTTGATATGAACATAAAATGAGACCACTGTGTGCTTCTTGATGTTACCTGGAAGTTGGCAAACCATAGTTGTGTTATTTGTAATTTTTACTGCTGGCACTATATATTTTTATTTCTTTAACCTTTACTGCTGGCACTATATATATTTGTATTTCTTTAACCTTTGTTTGACCAGGCAAGTCAATTAAGAAAAAATTCTTATTTGTAATGACGTCAAGAGGCAAATGCCTCCTGTGGGGACGGGGGCTTGGATAAAAACAAAAACAGTGCAAGACAAATCGGACAGAAGACACATCGGACAGAAGACACTGGCAACAGCACAAATACAACAGCAAACAAACAGTGGATGTGTGTGTTCGTGCAGGCATGTGTGTGACGTAAAACAACATGACGACATAGTTTTTTGAGTCGTCATGCTTTTCTTGTTTCACAATCGTCGGTGTCAATCCATTGGCTACCGTTGTCTTTTAATGAGTAATGTAGAGACATGGAAATGGTCAATTTGTTCACAACACAAAAGGCTGTTTTGAATGTTATTTTTTTGGTGATATCTCACACCCTGATGTTTGTTGAGTTGTTTCTGCACAACGCCGTCACTAAAGCCAAAGCATTGAAGAGAAACTAGAGTTTCTGTAGTTTCCGTAGTGACAGGACCAGCGTGGCTTGGTACTGTTCTGGATCTTATTTAGTCTTTCCCTTTTTTTATTTAACCTTTATTTAACTAGGCAAGTCAGTTAAGAACACATTCTTATTTACAATAATGGCCTACACCGGCCAAACCCGGACGACGCTGGGCCAATTGTGCGCCACCCTATGGGACTCCCAGTTGTGATACAGCCTGGAATCGAACCAGGGGGTCTGTAGTGACGCCTCAAGCACTGAGATGCAGTGCCTTAGACCGCTGCGCCACTCGGTCTGTAGTGACGCCTCAAGCACTGAGATGCAGTGCCTTAGACCGCTGCGCCACTCGGTCTGTAGTGACGCCTCAAGCACTGAGATGCAGTGCCTTAGACCGCTGCGCCACTCGGTCTGTAGTGACGCCTCAAGCACTGAGATGCAGTGCCTTAGACCACTGCGCCACTCGGTCTGTAGTGACGCCTCAAGCACTGAGATGCAGTGCCTTAGACCACTGCGCCACTCGGTCTGTAGTGACGCCTCAAGCACTGAGATGCAGTGCCTTAGACCGCTGCGCCACTCGGTCTGTAGTGACGCCTCAAGCACTGAGATGCAGTGCCTTAGACCGCTGCGCCACTCGGTCTGTAGTGACGCCTCAAGCACTGAGATGCAGTGCCTTAGACTGCTGCGCCACTCGGTCTGTAGTGACGCCTCAAGCACTGAGATGCAGTGCCTTAGACGGCTGCGCCACTCGGTCTGTAGTGACGCCTCATGCACTGAGATGCAGTGCCTTAGACCACTGCGCCACTCGGTCTGTAGTGACGCCTCATGCACTGAGATGCAGTGCCTTAGACCGCTGCGCCACTCGGTCTGTAGTGACGCCTCAAGCACTGAGATGCAGTGCCTTAGACCACTGCGCCACTCGGTCTGTAGTGACGCCTCAAGCACTGAGATGCAGTGCCTTAGACCACTGCGCCACTCGGTCTGTAGTGACGCCTCAAGCACTGAGATGCAGTGCCTTAGACCGCTGCGCCACTCGGTCTGTAGTGACGCCTCATGCACTGAGATGCAGTGCCTTAGACCGCTGCGCTACTCGGTCTGTAGTGACGCCTCAAGCACTGAGATGCAGTGCCTTAGACCGCTGCGCCACTCGGTCTGTAGTGACGCCTCAAGCACTGAGATGCAGTGCCTTAGACCGCTGCGCCACTCGGTCTGTAGTGACGCCTCATGCACTGAGATGCAGTGCCTTAGACCGCTGCGCCACTCGGTCTGTAGTGACGCCTCATGCACTGAGATGCAGTGCCTTAGACCGCTGCGCCACTCGGGAGCCCTTGTCTTGTTGAGGCACAGAATCTGGTCAAAGATTCAGGCATGTAAATTGTAGTATATTAGATTCAGGCATGTAAAATATAGTATATTTTATAGGATCCCAATATATATATACTGAACAAAAATAACATGTAAAGTGTTGGTCCCATGTTTCATGAGCTGAAATAAAATTTCCCAGACATTTTCCATACGCACAAAAAGTAATGTTTCGCTAAACTTTTGTGCACAAATGTGTTTACATCCCTGTTAGTGAGCATTTCTCCTTTACATAAAAAAAAACTAAAACATTTTAGTCATTTAGCAGACGCTCTTATCCATACATTTTTTTCATACTTTACCAAGATAATCCATCCACCTGACAGGCGTGGAAAATCAAGAAGCTGATTAAACGGCATGATCATTACACAAGTGCACCTTGTGTTGGGGACAATAAAAGGCCGCTCTAAAATGAGCAGTTTTGCCAAAACACAATCCTGCAGATATCTCAAGCATGCTGACTACAGGAATGTCCACCAGAGCTGTTGCCAGAGAATTTAATGTTCCTTTCTCTACCATAAGCCGCCTCCAATGTTGTTTTAGAGAATTTGGCAGTACGTACAACTACAGACCACGTGTATGGCGTCGTATGGTATGGAGTAATGCTGATGTCAACGGTGTGAACAGAGTGCCCCATGGTGGGGTTATGGTATGGCATAAGCTACGAACACAATTGCATTTTATCGATGGCAATTTGAATGCACGAAGATACCGTGACGAGATCCTGAGGCCCATTGTCGTGCCATTTATCTGCTGCAATCACCTCATGTTTCAGCATGATAATGCACAGCCCCATGTCGCAAGGATCTGTACACAATTCCTGGAAGCTGAATTGGCCAGTTCTTTCATGGCCTGCATACTCACCAGACATGTCACCCATTGAGCATGTTTGGGGTGCTCTGGATCAACGCGTATGACAACATGTTCCAGTTTCCACCGTTATCCGGCAACTTCACACAGCCATTGAAGAGGAGTGGGCGGCAGGTAGCTTAGTAAGGTAAGAGCGTTGTGCCAGTAACCGAAAGGTCGCTAGTTCTAATCCCCGAGCCGACTAGGTGAAAAATCTGATGTGCGCTTATTGCTCCTGTAAGTCGCTCTGGATAAGAGCGTCTGCTAAATGACTAAAATGTAAATGTAAAAATGAGTGGGACAACATTCCACAGGCCACAATCATCAGCCTGATCAACTCTATACTAAGGAGATGTGTCGCGCTGCATGAGGCAAATGGTAGTCTGGTTTTCTGATCTACGCACCAATTTTTTTATATATATATATATATATATATATATATATATATATATATATATATATATATATATATATATATATATATATATATATATATATTTTTTTTTTAACGTATCTGTGACCAACAGATGCATATCTGAATTCCCAGTCATGTGAAATCCATATATTAAGGCCTAATGAATTTATTTCAATTGACTGATTTCCTTATATGAACTGCAATGCAGTTAAATCTTTGAAATTGTTGCGTGTTGCATTTATATTTTTGTTAACCAAAACATGGCATAATGATTTATTTACATGTTCATGTAGAGAATAGAGATGTTTTGCATCACCATTAACAAGTTATTTAGCTTGTACCTAGTCCTTACACACGGCCTCCATACTCAAGTTTAGCCGTGTTGTTTTAGGGGCTGAGGCACCACATATGCTTTCTGTTGTTGTTTTGAGGCAGTGTGAAACATGCACGTTCGCACGCAGGAGGGAAAGCAGTGTGCTCTCAACTGAGTAATCTAAAATGAAACCTCTTTAGACATGGCTCTAGGATTTCCTAAGAGTTATGAGTGTTTTAGTTGTTATCAGTGCTAGACTTGGGGCCGGAACACACCTAGAATTTTCTACTGCTTAAGTACGGGCACCTCTTAGAATATAGGCGTTAAAAAACAACAACATTGCAGAGTTCTGGCACCTAAATGTAAACAGTACCGGCACCCAAAATGAGTACAGAGTCCAGACACCTATTTCAGTCCACTTCAAGCATAGGTTATTGTGTTGATCTTAGTCTAAGAAATGGTGTGTTTGCTTGCAGCAACTCGGACGATGAGTCCGGGTCGGGCTCTGGGTCTGGCTCCGGCTCCAGCTCCAGCTCCAGTAGCGGTTCTGGAAGTGGTTCTGGAAGCGGTTCTGGAAGCGGTTCAGGAAGCAGCTCGGATTCCGGCAGCCAGTCCGATTCCGACTCGGAGAAATCCAAGGAGAAGAACGAACCAGTAAACAAAGCCAAGATCGACGGGGCCGAGGTAGGAACACCGACATTCAACTGAAACTACATTACATGTCATTTTGAGATTGATTCACTGGGGTTAGCACTACATGATATTGCCAGGTTGAAGTGAAAGAGTATAGGTTGGATAGTTCAAACAAGATTTGAGATCTAATCAAAAGATCTGGGGCTGTATGTGTCAAGCATTTCAGAGTAGGAGAGCTGATCCAGTATCAAGTCTCTCCTTACCATGTCATCTTATTCATTGCTATCTAAAAGGCTAAATTGAACCTAAATCAGACCATTGATACATACGACCCTGGTCAACAGCCCCATTTTGTATTTCTGATGAACAAGAACTGTGTATTGTCCACAGGGGAACTGTCCTTGACTTGTAGCTAACTCTGTCCTATCTTCATCTCAGTTCTGGAAGTCCAACCCCAGTATCCTAGCAGTGCAAAGGTCAGCTATGCTAAGGAAACAGCAACTCCAGCAACAACAACAACAGAGCTCTTCTAACAGTGGATCGGTGGGTGGCGTTATCAATCATTTTACTTCCATCGTTATTCAAGGTGTATTCTAAGGCTCAAATTCAGTAAAGATGGGAGATTATTCATCTTAAAATTTGAATAAAATATTCCCTCAGTTTTATAGCTTGGTGTTTGGTGGTAATTAGTTCTGTCATTCATTGATTTGGTGGTATATAGGTTATAACACACATTATTACACACAGGTAGGCTAGAACATGTTTGTTATTTGGGACTTAGTTTCTAATCTGATGTTTTTCAGGATTCGTCGAGCAGTGACGATTCAGATGACGACTCAAGTGGAAAGAGAAGGAAGTGAGTTGTACTCCCCGACATCGTTCAGTGGGTGATATCAAACACCCTGACTATGTTGCTATACTATTGGTATAATGCTCCCCTGTGTCCATCTCTAGATCGGGTTCTGGATCGTCCTCCGGGTCTGGGTCGGGGTCCGGGAGTGGTTCCGGTTCTGACTCGTCAGCACAGGAACAGGAGCACAGCGAGGAGTCGGATGACTACGAGCCCAGTCACAAAGTCAAAAGCAGGAAGCCTCCAACCAAGTAAGAGTTCGTTTTTTTTGTATGCCAATAGATGACTATTTATACCTTCACATTAAGACTCCTCATTTTCACCATTACACTGTGGATATAGTCAATATCCAAAGGAAGGTCCTTTATCGCCTCATACCTATTAGGTCCATTGATGACAGCTCAGTCTGATTTAGCAGTAGTATCGGCATGGTAACTATTTCTGGATGCAAACCAATCCTTTTAGAATGGATGCTCAGCCACCACAATTCATCACTAGACTGTCAATGGCACTAAAGATGTGCTTCATTGTTGAGGGAGCTAGCACGTAAGCGTTTCACTGCACCTTTTTATACCTGCGCTAATCTGTGTAATAAACAAATACAATTTGATTTGAAGATCAAATGACCTTTCTAAGGGTGGAGGAGAGGAAACACTGTCTGTACTGTGCTACTCTCCTGTTCACTGTCTGTACTGTGCTACTCTCCTGTTCACTGTCTGTACTGTGCTACTCTCCTGTTCACTGTCTGTACTGTGCTACTCTCCTGTTCACTGTCTGTACTGTGCTACTCTCCTGTTCACTGTCTGTACTGTGCTACTCTCCTGTTCACTGTCTGTACTGTGCTACTCTCCTGTTCACTGTCTGTACTGTGCTACTCTCCTGTTCACTGTCTGTACTGTGCTACTCTCCTGTTCACTGTCTGTACTGTACTACTCTCCTGTTCACTGTCTGTACTGTGCTACTCTCCTGTTCACTGTCTGTACTGTGCTACTCTCCTGTTCACTGTCTGTACTGTGCTACTCTCCTGTTCACTGTCTGTACTGTGCTACTCTCCTGTTCACTGTCTGTACTGTGCTACTCTCCTGTTCACTGTCTGTACTGTGCTACTCTCCTGTTCACTGTCTGTACTGTGCTACTCTCCTGTTCACTGTCTGTACTGTACTACTCTCCTGTTCACTTTCTCCCTTCAGGGCCAACGCCAGAAACGGGAAGAAGAGCAACGTGCCGAGGAAAAAGCCCTCGGCGGGCTCGTCCTCGGACCACGAGGACTACGACGGTAAGAAGTCGTCGTCCAACCAGGGGCCCAGGCGCCAGGCCACGCAGAACGTCAGCTACAAGGAGGACGACGAGGCGAAGACCGACTCTGACGACCTGGTGGAGGTGTGCGGGGAGGACGTGCCCCCGCCGGACGAGGAGGAGTTTGAGACCCTGGAGCGCGTGATGGAGACGCGGATAGGGAGGAGGGGAGGTAAAGAGACAGAACCATAAGAGTCAAAGTACCCATTTAACTAAGTTGATAGTTGCCATGACGCCCTGGTAGCAACCTAGACAGAGCTCCTGAACATGTTTACATATTTAGTTATTTTAAAGTGTTTTTCATTATTTTTAGGAACCAACATTCTATTTGTTTTGATAATGAGTTTTTGTTGCATATATTTGGTTGTTTTGAGCCACGGATTTGCAGATTGACTGACAAGTCAACTCTTTTTGACTTGGCTAGCTAGAACATGTTTTTGTTTGAAAAATGCATCTGGACACAGTACCATTTTTATTTTTATTTTTTCACCTGGCTGCTTGAAGCTTGAGAGGAATGGGAGATAGAGGACTACAGCAGTGGTGAGGCAGAGGGCTCGTAGTGAGGACGACTGAATACTACTCTGAACTTTGTGTGTTGAGTGTTTTGGCGCCCAGAGCTGCCAAGGCATCCCCCAAGTGGGTGCTTCACAGAGTGGAAGAGGAGAAGTCCAGTGGCTATAAGACTCACGCTGGTTCCCAGACTGGCCCTGTACCAGATCATCAGCATCATTTACCATCCTTTGACCAGCTCCCTACGCTGACGCCATGAACTGACCCTCTACATCTGCAGAGGATGCAGCTTTCAAAGACTTGGCCTCTTTTGGTTGGCCTGACCTGTCATGATATATTGCTTGCTTGTTTGTTAGTTATTTGCTTATGAAGCGCTTTGAGGTTTTTTATAAATTCTTATTATTCCCATACTAAACACAGGTTGTTATTTTTCCCCCGCAGCGACGGGAGGCACCACCACAGTGTACGCAGTGGAGGCAGACGGAGACCCCAACGCCAACTTCAACCCCAACAAGGAGGCTGGCGAGCAGCAGTACCTGTTCAAGTGGAAAGGCTGGTCCCACATCCACAACACCTGGGAGACGGAGGAGACGCTCAAGCTGCAGAACGTCAAGGGCATGAAGAAACTAGACAACTTCAAGAAGAAGGAATCGGACAAGAAGAAATGGTAAGATAATAAATCATTAATCAGAGATGGGAAATGTGTTTGTCAATCATAGTCACAAAAGAAAGAAACTATCAATAATACAAATATTAAAAAACAGAAGTCAACATTTGTGGCCTTGGCTATTGGTTGGAAGAGGTGTTTTTGAGTGCCAGATAAGAGTTAGATTGGGTATGATTTTTTTGCTATTATATTGTTTTCCTTCTCCAGGATAAAATGTTCTTCACCAGAGGATGTGGAATACTTCAACTGTCAACAGGAGCTCATGGACGACTTACACTCACAATATCAGCTGGTGGAGAGGATAATTGGTGAGATGTCCTACTGCCGAGGCGTTCCTTCCATTGTTTACAGTTTGGGGTGGGACATAGGATTGAGATGTATAGAGCAGACTACACTACTTTATGCAGAGTCCGTTTTGTGGTAGTTCTATAAATAACATTCTTAAAGTATTGCCTGAATATTTTTGTTTTGATCGGCAATCGCACCCTTTTAACATGTTCTGATTTGATGTCACCCAGGGCATTCAAATCAGAAGTCGGCAGCGGGTTTCCCGGACTACCTGTGCAAGTGGCAGGGCCTGTCGTACTCTGAGTGCAGCTGGGAGGATGGAGCCCTCATCTCCAGAAAGTACCAGAAGAGTATAGATGACTACATGCGCAGAAACCAGTCCAAGTCCATTCCCTCAAGAGACTGCAAGGTAAGGAGTAGGTTGATATTGACCTTAGACCAGGGAAAGGCAACTAGATTCAGCCGCGGGCAGATTTTTGTCGAAGAGGATGGTCGGGGGCAGGAACATAATTATAATAATTGATACACTGCAAATTGACCACAACTACAGTGGTCCTCTGTAGCTCAGTTGGTAGAGCACGGCGCTTGTAACGCCAAGGTAGTGGGTTCGATCCCCGGGACCACCCATACACAAACAATTTATGCACGCATGACTGTAAGTCGCTTTGGATAAAAGCGTCTGCTAAATGGCATATTATTATTATATTATAACTAAGCCCCAAAATAAATGGTCTTTTGAAAATAACAATCATTACATACACAGAGACACGATCACATATACACTGCTAAAAAATTTTAAGGGAACACTAAAATAACACATCCTAGATCTGAATGAATGAAATAATCTTATTAAATACTTTTTTCTTTACATAGTTGAATGTGCTGACAACAAAATCACACACATGATCAATGGAAATCAAATTTATCAACCCATGGAGGTCTGGATTTGGAGTCACCCTCAAAATTAAAGTGGAAAACCACACTACAGGCTGATCCAACTTTGATGTAATGTCCTTAAAACAAGTCAAAATGAGGCTCAGTAGTGTGTGTGTGGCCTCCACGTGCCTGTATGACCTCCCTACAACGCCTGGGCATGCTCCTGATGAGGTGGCGGATGGTCTCCCGAGGGATCTCCTCCCAGACCTGGACTAAAGCATCCGCCAACTCCTGGACAGTCTGTGGTGCAACGTGGCGTTGGTGGATGGAGCGAGACATGATGTCCCAGATGTGCTCAATTGGATTTAGGTCTGGGGAACGGGCCGGCCAGTCCATAGCATCAATGCCTTCCTCTTGCAGGAACTGCTGACACACTCCAGCCACATGAGGTCTAGCATTGTCTTGCATTAGGAGGAACCCAGGGCCAACCGCACCAGCATATGGTCTCACAAGTGGTCTGAGGATCTCATCTCGGTACCTAATGGCAGTCAGGCTACCTCTGGCGAGCACATGGAGGGCTGTGCGGCCCCCCAAAGAAATGCCACCCCACACCATGACTGACCCACTGCCAAACCGGTCATGCTGGAGGATGTTGCAGGCAGCAGAACGTTCTCCACGGCGTCTCCAGACTCTGTCACGTCTGTCACGTGCTCAGTGTGAACCTGCTTTCATCTGTGAAGAGCACAGGGCGCCAGTGGCGAATTTGCCAATCTTGGTGTTCTCTGGCAAATGCCAAACGTCCTGCACGGTGTTGGGCTGTAAGCACAACCCCCACCTGTGGACGTCGGGCCCTCATACCACCCTCATGGAGTCTGTTTCTGACCGTTTGAGCAGACACATGCACATTTGTGGCCTGCTGGAGGTCAGTTTGCAGGGCTCTGGCAGTGCTCCTCCTTGCACAAAGGCGGAGGTAGCAGTCCTGCTGCTGGGTTGTTGCCCTCCTACGGCCTCCTCCACGTCTCCTGATGTACTGGCCTGTCTCCTGGTAGGGCCTCCATGCTCTGGACACTACGCTGACAGACACAGCAAACCTTCTTGCCACAGTTCGAATTGATGTGCCATCCTGGATGAGCTGCACTACCTGAGCCACTTGTGTGGGTTGTAGACTCCGTCTCATGCTACCACTAGAGTGAAATCACCGCCAGCATTCAAAAGTGACCAAAACATCAGCCAGGAAGCATAGGAACTGAGAAGTGGTCTGTGGTCACCACCTGCAAAACCAGTCCTTTATTGGGGGTGTCTTGCTAATTGCCTATAATTTCCACCTGTTGTCTATTCCATTTGCACAACAGCATGTGAATTTTATTGTCAATCAGTGTTGTTTCCTAAGTGGACAGTTTGATTTCACAGAAGTGTGATTGACTTGGAGTTACATTGTGTTGTTTAAGTGTTCCCTTTATTTTTTTGAGCAGTGTATTTTATTTTTTCTTGAGTACAGATTTCCTAAATTAACCAAGAATTCATCCCCAAAAATATTTTAGTCTTTAAAAAAAAAAAAAAATTTGACCAATTTCCTCCACTTAAGGCCCCCCTTGGTCTGTCCTTGCATAGCACATCTGAATGGATTGGAAAGGGGAAATCAGCAATGTTGTCCTATTTCTGTTACCTATCCATTCCCTTTAAAAAACTGAGGACCTGGCAAGGACCCAGATGTAGAGACTTGGGATCGTTTTAGGAGCCGGCGGTAGTTTGAGTATTTGACTTACAGCAGTCGTCCCTTTTGGAATGACAGAGAACTGTCATTGGAATGACTTGTTTTAATTTAGAACTTCAAACTCTCTCTCTTTCCTCCCATCTCACTCTCTCCTGTCTCCTCGTCAGGTGTTGAAACAGAGGCCGAGGTTTATTCCCATGAAGAAACAGCCATCCTATATCGGAGGAGAAGGACTGGAGCTCCGAGACTACCAGTTGGACAGCTTGAACTGGATGGCTCACTCCTGGTGCAAGTACGTCATAGTATTCTTGAGCTTCCGTGGTTGTTGTGTTACATTTTGACTATTTTGAATTATTTTCTTATTTTTTGCTAAACTCAGCATTTGGGTGTTTCATAATTCAAATTAAATATCACTGTTCGAACCCCAGACATCCTGAATTTCATTGCGATTCACTTTTCACTATCTGAAACCAGACAATAAAAAGTTACTCAGAATAACTTTACTGAGGACAAAAAATACAATTTGCCACATTTAGTTTCTTTGGCTGTTAATATATATATTATCTTTGTACAAAATACTGTTCATCATCCTGTCGATGCTCCCAACACTTTTCTCACCATCCTCTCGTCTTTCCCCAGGGGGAACAGTTGCATCCTGGCAGACGAGATGGGTCTGGGCAAAACCATCCAGACAATCTCCTTCCTCAACTACCTGTTCCATGATCACCAGCTGTACGGACCCTTCCTGCTGGTGGTGCCCCTTTCCACGCTCGTCTCCTGGCAGAGAGAGATCCAGCTGTGGGCCCCCCTCATGAACGTGGTGGTCTACCTGGGAGACATTAGCAGCCGGGGCATGGTAGGCTACAGTCGTAGTGATGGATATGATAGATGGCATGGTAGGCTACAGCTGTAGTGATGGATATGATAGATGACATGGTAGGCTACAGTCGTAGTGATGGATATGATAGATGACATGGTAGGCTACAGCCGTAGTGATGGATATGATAGATGACATGGTAGGCTACAGTCGTAGTGATGGATATGATAGATGACATGGTAGGCTACAGCCGTAGTGATGGATATGATAGATGGCATGGTAGGCTACAGTCGTAGTGATGGATATGATAGATGACATGGTAGGCTACAGCTGTAGTGATGGATATGATAGATGACATGGTAGGCTACAGTCGTAGTGATGGATATGATAGATGATTTTTAATGATTCAGAACAGATGAGAGAATAAGTTGCAGGGTTTTTCATACTGCCGATATTGCATTGGGGTTTCTGGCATTTGATATTTGAAGAAGAGTGTTTACTGCGACGTTGCTATTTCAAGATTGAGACACCACTTCCAGACTTTTGACTTTTCTTGAATTAAGGCTACATTTAATTATGAATTCCTCTTCGTTACTTTTTAGATCAGAACACATGAATGGATGCACGTTCAGAACAAGAGACTCAAGTTTAACATCCTGCTAACAACATATGAAATTCTCCTAAAAGATAAGGTAAGATCAGGTTTCTTAGATCTTTGTAACGTGTGAGTTGTTGAAAGAATTTACTCTTGAAGGGCAATAAACGTCATTAATCAATTAATGATGTACACAATAAAACCTGAGCTAAACTGCACACAGAGAAAAAAATGGTATCCACGAGTTCATCTGACTCTGGGGAAGTAGATAAAGGACCTCATTGCCAAAGTCCAGAAATATCCCTTTTTAATATAGTCATTTAGCTTTTGCCCAAGTGACTTATTGTCAACATTTAACATCGAATTCCCAACCCTGTTGTGGCCATCACCATGCGTTAACCCACTTAGCTATTGACACCACATTGTAACTACCACTCTGTGTCCACTATGCAGGGATTCCTGGGGAACGTGCCATGGGCCTTCATCGGCGTGGACGAGGCCCACCGGCTGAAGAACGACGACTCGCTGCTTTATAAGACCATGATGGACTTCAAGTCCAACCACCGGCTGCTCATCACCGGCACGCCGCTGCAGAACTCACTCAAAGAGCTCTGGTCCCTGCTGCACTTCATCATGCCCGAAAAGTAGGTCACCTGGCTACCTCGCCGGTGTGTATGGGGGGGTGGGGGGGGGGTTGACGGTCCTATTTAATTTCATTGTGTGTGGTGTGAAGGCCATCAGTCCTATAGGAATTAACGGAGTGGCTGCGGATCCGATGGTGCTCGTTTTTAATAAAGTCCGATCAAAGCTGAATCAATGTCTGAACAGTATTCTACGTAACAGAATCGTATATAATGGCATAGTATAACGTTACTGTAAGACAAAAACAACAGTTTTTCCATTCATGTGGCCAAAACTCAACAGCGAACACAACTAAGCAAAATACACAGGTAGGCTATGCTACAGTTTAACACCATCTGCTCAAAAATTTGTCCACTGGCCATCATTCGAAACAGCACTATAACTCAAGAAGATCTAAATGCATGTCCCCATGATCAAATGGTTACTCTGCAGAATGATGCTGCATGGATGTTGCACTGGTAAAACTTAAAGAATTATCATTCATGTTTGAATGCTGTATTGTTTTACATGAACTTTATACTATGCTATTATATTGGGTTCTGTTATGTAGAGTACTATCATTATGTGATCTTGTAGACAGTGATTCAGCTTTTATCTAACTTCATTAAAAGATAACCATTCTCCTGAGTAGCCTGGTCGCTATGTGTTGTACAGAATATAAACATGCCTAGAGGCTTCGGGAAGCTCGGAAGCGGATCCGCAGCCAAAGCCATGAGTTAATGGTGTGTTTGTGTGTAATAATAATGTGGAGGGTGCTTATATTGGTCCTGTTACATATACAAGTGTGAATTGGGAATGTTTCTTGCATATCCCAAATTCCCCTGACACCTGCAGCGAGTGGGGTCATGGCCAGGGTCACCATTGTCCAGCGCCCCTGGCGCAATTGGGGTTCAGTGCCTTGCTCAAGTGACACAGCGACAGAATTTACACCTTTTCGGCTTTGGGATTCGAACCAGCGACCTTTTGGTTACTGGCCCAACGCTCTGTGTGAAGACTAACTGTCCTATATGAGTTAATGGTGTGTATGAATGTGTGAGAACAGTCCTATATGATCTCATGGGGTGGCTGGGAATCAAGGTACCAAGCTGGTTGAAATATGTTTCTTTGTCCTTGTTCTGGAGCTTTCGGTCCTCAGAGCAGTGCTGATATCTGGCCGTATGCCCGTGTTTGTGTGTGTTTTCAGGTTCCACTCGTGGGAGATATTTGAGGAGGAACATGGGAAGGGTAGGGACTCTGGCTACACCAGTCTACACAAGGAGCTGGAGCCCTTTCTGCTGCGTAGAGTCAAGAAGGATGTGGAGAAGTCTCTTCCTGCTAAAGTAGAGCAGATCCTCAGAGTGGAGATGAGCGCCATTCAGAAACAGTACTACAAGTAAGAACAGATAAATACTACTCATTCAGAAACAGTACTACACGTAAGAACATAAATACTACTCCATACTCATTCAGAAACAGTACTACACGTAAGAACAGAAATACTAATCATCCATACTCATTCAGAAACAGTACTACATGTAAGAACAGATAATGTCTTCTTTTCAGAAACAGTACTATGAACAAGAACAGAGAATTAGTACTCATTCAGAAACCGTACTACAAGTCAGAACAGATGGATACTACTAGGGATGGGCACGGTTAAGCGAATATCCGGATATCCGAAAGGACGTTAGTATTTGATTACTTGAGTGAGTGTAAACATTTTGAGAATAAAAAATGTACCGGTAGGCCTATTTTAACAATAAAAAAAGCTGTCTAAATTACTATTTATTCAGAAACCGTACTACAGGTAAGAACAGATGGATACTAGAGCTTGGCGATATGGGGAGAACTCCATATATAGGCCACCTACTCATTCAAGGGTTTTTCTTTATTTTTACTATTTTCTACATTGTAGAATAATAGTGAAGACATCAAAACTATGAAATAACAAATATGGAATCATGTAGTAACCAAACAAGTTAAACAAATCAAAATATATTTTATATTTCAGATTCTTCAAAGTAGCCACCCTTTTGCATTGACAGCTTTGCACACTCTTGGCCGTGTAGGCTCATTTGATTAATCTATCAGTAAATGTAGGCTAATGTCCTACAAAAACTTTCCAACACTAGGACTAGGCTGCTTGATGTAGGTGCACCTACTCAGGTTGTAAAGTTGTTCCATGAACTCAATATTAAGAGGTGAGAAACAAGCTGTTGACTCTCCTCTCTGTAACTAGAACAGTAGTTTCTTTTGAAAACTGTATTTTTCCCGCAATTTTGGGCAACGGTCATATGCTTGTGCTTCTCAGAATGCATCTCTCCCTCCTCTGTGCGCACAGTGGGGAGAGGCAGTGAGAGTCAGCAGCTGATAGCAAAACAGGGACAGGCAGGTACTTTCATAGCAGGAATCACCATAATGCATAGGGTATTAATGTTGACCAAATAATGGTTCTAGAACAATCTACAGGAACGTTGTGTAGAAAAATCACCGAAGATTATCGACGTAAGCAAAATGCTTCGGTAAGAGGAAGGCAACGTCGGTGTCTGTAATTTTCTGTTAATCGTCCCAGCTCTACTAGATGCTACTCATTGTGAACAGAACTAAAAGTAACATCGTATTGCCTTCTGCCATATCCTGCAATGCAAATTACCAGAGCCATGAAGCCAATAGAAACTAACAATGGGAGCAGACAAGATCAATGTTTATGCACATCAAGGACAATCTCCAGATATTCAGTGCCACGGCTTAGACCCAATTGGCCTCATTTAACAGAATATATTGATAAATCGAAGGAATACCTCTGGTATAACGTTTTAGGAAGATTTGAACACTTCTTAGATGCACTTCTGGAGGACGCTCCTGTGCTGGTGCTGTCGTCTCTCTCCAAGTGCTGCAGCTTCAGCCCAGAGGCTCTCAGCAGCTTTCTGGCTGTACAGTTAGAGGCGTGTGAGAGCAGTCTACCGGTCTCGTTGGCGTGTGAGAGCAGTCTACCGGTCTCGTTGGCGTGTGAGAGCAGTCTACCGGTCTCGTTGGCGTGTGAGAGCAGTCTACCGGTCTCGTTGGCGTGTGAGAGCAGTCTACCGGTCTCGTTGGCGTGTGAGAGCAGTCTACCGGTCTCGTTGGCGTGTGAGAGCAGTCTACCGGTCTCGTTGGCGTGTGAGAGCAGTCTACCGGTCTCCTCAGTCCCCCTTCTGCACTGGCAACGCTCAGTTCTACTGTTGGGAATCTACCCGTGCAGCTTGGCTGGGGGGGGTTGGACAACACACCCTTTTTTTAGTTCCACTGAGACTTTGAGGGCTTCTTCAGGAGTGTGCAATGTTCCAAAACGTACAGCTAGATATCGAAGATGTGCTTCACCTTTTTGTATAAATAAACCGATCAGCCACCTCGCCTCAATAGTTAAACAGGCATATGGCTCCATAACACTGAGGGGCTGTTTCCCAGACAGAAATTAAGCCTAATCTTGGACTAAATTGCTCTTTTAAACTGGACTAATGAAAATGTGAACTTCTCGAACATGGTATGAAATAGACCTTAATTAATCTGGATGGAAATTAGGGCTATTCTAGGTCTTTATGGGTATAAACTAAACCTAGGAGGTGGGTTTAACTTCAGGTTTCCTGTTTATCCTGACTGAGTTGGAAGTTAATTTGGAGCGCTCCTTTTCCAAATTAGTTAATCCAGAATTAATAAATTCATGTAGTTTTTTTTATGAAATGCATTGCAAATGGTAGTAAAAATAAAAAAATATAGTTGTCGTTCTGTTGCAGAATCAAGCTGTATTGGGGTATAAAAAAAAAAATACAATAAAAAAACTACTAACCCTGTGTGTGTTCGGTCAAACAGGTGGATCTTGACAAGGAACTACAAGGCCCTGAGTAAAGGCACCAAGGGCAGCACGTCTGGCTTCCTAAACATCATGATGGAGCTGAAGAAGTGCTGCAACCACTGCTACCTCATCAAGCCACCAGAGGACAGCGAGTTCTACAATAAACAGGAGGCCTTACAGGTGGGTGGGGGGGGGGGGGTAAATAAATGTGCGTACAAACTTTATAATTATTTGTGTCCTCTGTAGCTCAGCTGGTAGAGCACGGCGCTTGTAACGCCAAGGTAGTGGGTTCGATCCCCGGGACCACCCATACACAAAAAAAATGTTTGATGCACGCATGACTGTAAGTCGCTTTGGATAAAAGCGTCTGCTAAATGGCATATTATATTATTATTATTTGTGTGACACTCCTTACTCACTCAATTGTCAAACCTTGGCATCAAGGCATTCTGGAGGGCCGAGAGCACGTCCACTGACTTGAAGCTTAAATTGAGTTTTAAATGTGGGGATGTAGCTGCACCTAACACACTTCGGTTTTGAAAAATTATATTACGCTAACAGAGTAATTACTTACCAACAACAGCTGCAAATTCCAATAAAACTACATTACGTTTTTGAAGTTTTCCTTGCTTTTCCAACGACACTATCGTGAATCTAGCAAAAAAAGTTTTGTGGGTCAGAGTGCAGTATTTGTGTTTCATAGCACGAACGGTTGGTTAGCACGCTCTTTTATAAGTCTGCTCACTGTAGTTACTGTAGGCCTCTTTTATGAGAAGGGTTAGCTAGGTAATGCTGAGTTTTGTCCAATATCCATATCTCAGGATATTTATTATTTGCGTTGAATTCTACTGAATCACTGTAGTTGTTGGGGGTTATCTTTACAGTAAATATAATGGTGGTGGATAGGCCTTCAATGCAAGCTGCAGAGGTTGCCTTACAACAAGATGATCCTGACATTTTAAAGGTTAAAAAGGTGGACTTTGTGGCCTTTATTGCAATGGTGATTAATGGCACTGCCAAGGTGGAGAAAAGATATAGGAAGATAGAAATCATTGTGGGAGCGGCGGAGCGGTTCCTGGGGCTGAAAGATTTCTCGGCAAAAGAGTTACATGGAATATTGTCAGTACTAACTGTAAGTCGCTCTGGATAAGAGCGTCTGCTGAATGACTAAAATGTAAATGTAATTATTTCCAGAGTTAGCATAGACGCACACTAATCTCTCTCCCCCTGCAGCACCTCATCCGGAGCAGTGGGAAGCTGGTGCTCCTGGACAAGCTGCTTCTGCGCCTGCGAGAGCGAGGTCACCGTGTGCTCATCTTCTCCCAGATGGTCCGGATGCTGGACATCCTGGCCGAGTACCTGAAGAGCCGCCAGTTCCTCTTCCAGGTCAGCAGCTCACTGGCTCCTTATGTACAGATCTAGGATCAGCTTCCCCTCTCCTAATCCTAAACTTAACCATTAGCGGGAGAAAAGCAAAACTGACCCAGGATCAGTGCCCTAAGGGCAGCTTCACCACATTCCCTTTCCCATGTCCTTTCCATATACAGGCCTCTCCCGCTACAGGTATACCAGGACTGTGGTTTTAAAGGGACACTGTGAGATTCAGGCATTTTAAGCCCTTGTTCTACTTACCCAGATGAACACGTGGATACCATTTTTATGTCTGCGTGCTGTATGAAGGAAATTAGCATCGCTACGGTGTACCTGTGGACTTCCAGTCATTGCGCTAACGCTAGTTAGCATTGGCTTCCCGAAACTACCGCTAACTTCCTTCATACGGCATGCAGAGACATAACAATGGTATACACGTGTTCATCTGCCTCTGGGTAAGTAGAACAAGGGCCAGAAAAAGAACCAAAAAAAGTGATGTGTGGGTTGAATCCTACCTAAAGAAGTCTTCACTACATCATTTTATTGTGCAAATAGGCACGATGGCTTACTAAAAAACGGTAAGTAAGGTGCTTTCCTAGTCAGGATTCAGCTCGGTGGTTATCTAAGCAAAGTATCTAGAGGCTCCTTAAGTGTTACCATACTTAAACCCCTAAAGATAAGCAAAATGCAAAAACATTTCAACGTTCAAGAACATTGAGGAGAGTTTGCTGTAGCTGGGACGAGGACTATATGTGTCTTGTCTTTGTAGAGATTGGACGGCTCCATCAAGGGAGAGATGAGGAAACAGGCGCTGGACCATTTCAACGCTGAGGGCTCTGAGGTAAGTGTGGAATGAATGTATCATAATATCTACTGCTGCGCTAACAGCCAGGGATTGGGGACAAATCAGATTACTTCCTGAATCGACTGAATTGAATACTGACTTGATCCCAACCCTGCTAATTTTACTCAATAGTCCAATCAAGTTCACTCATGGGGTGAAATATAGAATTGGAAATCTACTGTAATGAACCGTCTTACACTCAACGTTATTACATCTCACTTCCTCTACCCAGGATTTCTGCTTCTTGTTGTCAACACGGGCGGGCGGTCTGGGCATCAACCTGGCGTCGGCCGACACGGTGGTCATCTTCGACTCGGACTGGAACCCTCAGAATGACCTGCAGGCCCAGGCCAGAGCCCACAGGATTGGCCAGAAGAGACAGGTACGCAACCAATCACTTTGTCAAGTTGACTTGCGTTCGCGTTCAAGTTTTGTTACCCAATGACAAAGCGGTTAACAAACCAAAATGGCATAGATTAATACAGGTTTTAGAGCTATTGGTCATTGGTCTGTCTTACCATTTTATGTGTCTAGTGATGTGTAGTGGTGTATATTGATGTGTATACAGGGCTCATCTGTAAAAGAGACCTTGGTCTCAGCATGACTCTCTGTCAAAATAAAGATTTTTAAAAAAACAGGCCAATTTGTTTGCACAACACGTGTTGTCAAGTTGTATTGATACCCAATGACAGCAGGCACAAGACCAAGATACATGGCCCAGGTTGTAGTGAATGGTGTTGTAAAGCTATTGCTGTGAATCTCCTATGATTTTAAATATTCACCCTATATCCTAAACAACCATGCTTTCCCAGTGGGAACAAAACGTCTGAAATAAAGGATTACAGAGTTGTGGACATAACTTAACACAACATGAAACCTGTGTGTATCCCAGGTGAACATCTACCGTCTGGTGACTAAGAGCTCGGTGGAGGAGGAGATCATTGAGCGGGCCAAAAAGAAGATGGTGCTGGATCATCTAGTCATCCAGAGGATGGACACCACGGGCAAGACGGTCCTACACACCGGCACCGCCCCCTCCAGGTACACACACACACACACACACACACACACACACACACACACACACCGAAAACACACTCACTCTCTCAAATCTCTAGGTGCTTACATACAGGCAAGGGCCTACAAACTCACGCAAGTACACATGCAAGCGTGCACACATTTTTATATTTTAGTCATTTAGCGGACGCTCTTATCCAGAGTGACTTACAGGAGCAATTGGGGTGAAGTGCCTTGGGGATTGGAACCGGCGACCTTTCGGTTACTGGCCCAACTCTCTTAACTAGGCTACCTGCTTACCTGCTGCTTTACACACACACACACACACACACACACACACACACCCCCCCTTACTCTCTCAACTACATCAACAAAACACACACACACCCTTACTCTCTCAACTACATCAACAAAACACACACTTCCTCAGTGTGCTTACAGTCTTTTTGCAGACACAACCCTATACCCTCTAGACGCTTACTCACAAATACACATACCATCCTTTTGAGGTGTTCACGGTCATGCACACACACACCTGCAAGGTTTTCTGTGTTCTCATTTGGAACTTCCATCACTTGCAGTGCCACTCCGTTCAACAAGGAGGAGCTGTCGGCCATTTTGAAGTTTGGTGCTGAGGAGCTGTTCAAGGAGCAGGAGGGGGAGGAACAGGAGCCTCAGGTTTGTCACTCACCTCATCACTATATCACGATACTCATTTTCTGTGGCAAAAAAGCAGACTAAACTCTTTAAAAACCCGCTTTATCTAAAGTAGTGTGTGTTATATCATGGGGTGAGGGGAAAACAAAAGTGACTGGGGGTGAAAACATAAGGCTGTTTGTTTTCAACGTTTTTGACAAGATATTAATTCTGCATCATGTTTTGTTTACTTGCCATGATACTAATGAGTATCGCGATACTGATATCCTGACAACCCTAATCCTTATCATTGTGTGTCCTAAGTGTGGAACTTTGCAGTTACTATTAATCTCTCCTGTTGCGTTGGTTCTGATGTAGACCTATATTGTCCCTGTGTTTCTGATCAAATCCAGGTTCCCCTCCTGTTGATCGATAAAGTTGATACATTTTTCATAAACTGACTGTTTGGTTTCCCTCTGGCAGGATATGGACATCGATGATATCCTGAAGAGAGCCGAGACCAGAGAGAACGACCCCGGCCCCTCCACTGTTGGAGAGGAGCTGCTCTCACAGTTCAAGGTATATATCACGTTCATCGCAAATAAAGGCTTTTTCAAAAGAACCGCTAACGGAAAGAACGGCACTAGTAAGAGTGAAAAGAAGTACCACAGTGTTAAAAAAAGTAATATATATTTACCATGCGTTTTCTAGTACAGGACTAGGCTAAATCGGTGTCCAGGAAACCGGCCCTAAATCGGTGTCCAGGAAACCGGCGCTGAAAAAGTAATATTTAAGTCAATCCGCTGAGCCTCTGTGACCTCTCAACCTAACTTTGACCCCTCCCTGCCAGGTGGCCAACTTCTCCATGATGGAGGAGGAGGAGATCGTCATGGATTCTGAGCGCCACCATCGGGGCTGGGACGACATCATCCCTGAGGAGCAGCGGCGGCGGATGGAGGAGGAGGAGAGACAGAAGGAGCTGGAGGAGATCTACCTGCTGCCCCGCATGAGGAACTGTGCCAAACAGGTTAGCTAGGGGGCCCTCCCTCTCTCTCTCTCTCACACACACACACACACACACACACACACACACACACACACACACACACACACACAGCAGTACTCTCCAATACAGAGATTGGGTTTATCAATGAATCAAAACAGGAATGCCAGATTTTTCAGAAATCTTCTGTATCTTAGCAGTATAATGGACTGGTAGCTTTTTTGTCTTCTGAATTAATATGTTGTGCTAAACAGTCCCATCCCTTTTAGTGGATGATGTGCAGGTGGTCCCATTGAAACCCTCAGAACATGGTTCTAATTCAAAAAATAAAATGTTTGTTTGTTTTATGGTTCCAGGTCAATTTTAACGGCAATGAGAGCCGGCGTAGCAGAAACAGACGGTATTCCGGCTCCGACAGCGACTCTGTCTCGGATCGCAAGAGGCCCAAGAAACGAGGACGGCCTCGGACCATTCCACGAGAAAACATCAAGGGCTTCAGCGATGCTGAGATACGAAGGTAATCACTACACATGGGATGCATCCCAAATGGACCCTTTTCTCTTTATATCACTATAGGGAATAGGGTGTCATTTAGGAAACACCTGTGGTGTTGTTAAACGTCTTCTATCCTGTGGGAATAAGTACCTGAAAAGTCCCACACACACACACACCTTTTGGGGATGTAGAAAATGCACTCACTTCCATTACCTTGACTACACCTCAACTTTTTGTATTTTTCTACACAGATTTATCAAGAGCTACAAAAAGTTTGGTGGACCACTTGAAAGGTAAATGCAGGCAAAAACTACAAAATGTGGTTTCTTTTTTTTTGACAACTTTTCTCAACATGCTATTTGACCCCCCCAAAAAAACCTCCTATCTCTCTCAGACTGGATGCTATCGCCCGTGATGCCGAGCTGGTGGATAAGTCTGAGTACGACCTGAAGCGCCTGGCGGAGACGGTTCACAACGGCTGTCTGAAGACTCTCAGGGAGAACCCCTGTGGACCAGAGAAGACGTCAGGTACTTTCAGTGCTCGATTTGTACTGAAATAGGTACTGGTACTAATTTTGGGTGCCATTACTGTTTTATATTTAGGTGCAGGAGCTCCACAATACCTTTTGAGCTAATATTCTATAAAAGGAACAGGAGCTCAAGCAGTATAGAATTTGAGGTGCCGGTACTCTGCTGTGGTGAGCTCCTGCCAAAGTCGAGCACTGGGTACTTTATACTATCTGTCTTTGTCTGTCTGTGTCTCTGTCCCATCCTTCCATCTCTCTCTCGCCAGTCCATCTCTATCCATCTGTCCATCTATCTCTCTACTGCTACTGCAAACAATGTCAAAAGTTGCTGAAGAGGTGGGCTGTATTGTTATGCCCCTGGTAACCAGTATTAAACCTCTCTCTGCCTCACCAACAGGAGGCAGACGAGGGAAAGTGAAAGGCCCTACATTCAGGATCTCAGGCGTCCAGGTGAATGCCAAGCTGGTGATCTCCCACGAGGAGGAGCTGGCACCGCTCCACAAAGCCATTCCTGCCGACCCTGATGAGAGGAAGAGGTCTGTCTCGCCACTCGGTCTCTTACCTCAAACATGGATTGCGTCCCAAATTACACCCTATTCCCTATTTAGTGCACTACCTTTGACCAGGGGCCATGTGGGTCAAAGCCATGCTGTTTTTACTCAACTCCTCCATCACACAACAGTTAAATGTTTTACACTCACATAGCAGCCAATACAAACGGAAATCCCTTGGCATAACAAATACCACAGGCCTATCTAAATCCACACCATATAGTAAAAAACAGCTTGGGGGTCTTCAACATTTTCTTGCCCAGGGACCCCCTTCCTGGCAAACTGGTGACCCAGGAACCCCCATCATACGTTAGCAAAAAATAAATCACGTCTTATCAGGTGAATGATAATGGCAAAATAAGTAATACATGTTTTTTCAATAAATATGTTTGGTAGATCATTTTTCATTATTTTCACCCTCCCACATTCTAATTGGAAGAGGAAGTGTAAACTCTAACATAGCCCCGTGTAGCTCAGTTGGTAGAGCATGGCGTTTGCAAAGCCAGGGTTGTGGGTTCGATTCCCACGGGGGGCCAGTATGAAAAAATGTATGCACTCACTAACTGTAAGTCGCTCTGGATAAGAGCGTCTGCTAAATGACTAAAATGTAAAAATTATAGCCTATTAGCTAGAACGGTAACGGCAAAAACATTTTCGCTAAGAGCAGCTGTTTAGCTGGTTAAACAAAGGTTAGTCTTGTGTTGGCAAATAATTATGTCCAAGTCAAGAAATCTTACCTGCAGCACTTACTGTACTGGTAGCCTATTAACTGGTGCTTTTTCAAAGCCTACTGTATGTCAGATTCTCCAGTAAGTCTAATTGGCTTGAATGAGTGTAATTTGCTCAATATTAGGAGTTGATAAATAAAGTTGACATCAATAGAAAAAACATGATATTTTCTAATGTATGTATGTAGTAAATTGTTTTCTGTTGTTGCTAACTATATTCATAAAAACATTTCAATACAAATAAATAAGATCTTATTTTTTATATATAATATTTAAACATATATTTATTGGTCCTCTGTAGCTCAGCTGGTAGAGCACGGCGCTTGTAACGCCAAGGTAGTGGGTTCGATCCCCGGGACCACCCATACACAAAAAAATGTATGCACGCATGACTGTAAGTCGCTTTGGATAAAAGCGTCTGCTAAATGGCATATTATTATTAATTTTCGCAGACCCCCTGCAGTACCACAACATTTATTAATTGATTAAAGGACAGACATGACTTTGACAATGTTGTAAGCACTATGAAACCAATCTGTACTTGCAATGTGGGGCGGCAGGTAGCTTAGTGGTTAAGAGCGTTGTGCCAGTAACCGAAAGGTCGCTGGTTCTAATCACCGAGCTGACTAGGTGAAAAATCTGTCGATGTGCCCTTGAGCAAGGCACTTAACCCTAATTGCTCCTGTAAGTCGCTCTGGATAAAAGCATCTGCTAAATGACTGAAATGTAATGTAACTTTGATGTAAATATATGATTGTCACATGCCTAGTTTTAGGACCACTTAATATGAAATGACACCTTCTACTCTTACTGAATACTGAATCCAAACCCTTCTCTTTTCTTAGGTACACAATCCCATGCCACTCCAAGGCAGCACACTTTGACATTGATTGGGGCAAGGAGGACGACTCTAGCCTGCTCATAGGAATCTACGAGTATGGTTATGGCAGCTGGGAAATGATCAAGATGGACCCTGACCTCAACCTGACACACAAGGTGAGTCTGAAGAAAATCCATATCACAAGAAATGTACTGAAATATCACGATAAAGATGAATATCACGATAAAGATGAATATCACGATAAAGATGAATATCACGATACGTTTATAACGTTTATGTGCACCAGTTTTTTTTTTTTATATTACTCTCAAAACAACTACTACTACTACTTTGAATGTTGCAGCTATCAATTGTCCGGTTCACAATCGCCCATATCAGCGGACTTCACATTTCTCTAGAATAGGCTATTATCGTAATTAACAATAACAGTTAAATGTCATCGTGAAGCGGTCGGTTCGGTCGGTATCTGTCATTTTTGGTTCATCGTCTCAGCTCTAAGAAGACAGGGTCTAACTTTTATAACGGGGAACTGAAACTGTCATAACCAAGGTTAAGGGTAAGAGCTTTTGTGTTTTATAATTGTATTAATTTACACATCCGTTCCTTTGTGTGAACCAGCTCTTACCTGACGACCCTGACAAGAAGCCACAGGCCAAGCAACTGCAGACGAGAGCGGACTATCTCATCAAATTACTGAGCAAGGACCTGGCCAAAAAGGAAGCGCAGAGGCAAGCAGGGACGGTAAGTGGCCATGACTGGCCGGATCACACTATTCAGACTCTATTATGGTGCCCTGCCCACTTGACCCAATTCAAACGTAATTGTTTTCCTCCTCCTGAACAAGAACATTCCCAAGCAAGAAAATATGAATTACCTTCGTCAAAACAGTTAAATGATGTGCACAAAATTAGAAAAATATGTTATTTGTAGAGGAAAATTATTGAAAAAAATATATGCTTGTTTTTACTTAGTATAAGCACTTGGAAGCCCACGTTCTTTAGCATTAGCATTCTCATAGGCTTTGAGAGGCGTCGTTAGCTAGTTAGCATATTAGACTATCTAATGGTCGTTATCCATACAGGCTGTATCCTTTTTTAATCGAAGATCAATGCTTAAAATTGGTAAATGTTAGACATAACATCAATGACAAAAGACCAAAACACTAGGTGTATTGTAATCTGTTGTGCCACAAAGCTAACTAGGTAACGACGCCAGTCAAAGCCTATAAGAATGCTAATGCTAACGAACGTGGGCTTCCGAGTGCTTATACCACATAAAAACAAACGTTTTAATATTTTCGCCAACATAGAACTAGCATACCTTTTCAAGTTATGTGCGCGTTATTTAAGTTTTGACCAATTTTATTCGGATTTAACAATGTTTTGCTTGTTTGAATGGACCTGAAAGGAGGAAAACAATTGCAACACATTGCATGCGCCCTTGTTGCCAGGTGACGTAAGGTGAATACATAGTCTGTGTCCTATAGTGCATCTCCTTTCCTATTGGCAGTTCCACTGTAATAAGATTATTATTTCCTTTGTCTTCATTCCTAGCTATATGCAGGTATGTGTGGAGTGTTGAATTCAGTCTCGAATTTACACCTAAAAAGTCCAGAATTAAAGCTACCGTCTAGGATTCTAAAAACAAAGCGGCTGCCTTGCCATTTGTTTGTTTTGGTAAACAGATGAGGCGAGGGAATAGTAGCTCTTTAAATTCATAGGCTGTGCTCAAGATACAATAACTGACAGTCCATTAGATCAAAATGTATAGTTTTAACTGTGGTTTGAAGCTATACGTTGTTGCGATATGAGAAGCACGAGACAATACGACGCTCTCCGACAGCGTATCTGGTGCGCTTCACTCTGCAACAACGTGATAGCTGCAGGACCAAAAACAGCGGAGAAGGTTAGCCTTGTTCTTCACGCTTTTTAGTTGGCCAACGTGTTTTTTCAATTAGTTGCAAAGAAAGATGAAGTCCCTTTTTTGTTGTTGTTGTTGTTGTTGTAGGCCAATTGGAGGAAGAGGAAACCGAGGAGTAAGAAGACCAAAGCTGCGAAGCCAGCCAAGGTGGACGAAGTGGTGAAGAGTCCGTCCTCTGAGCCCCCCTCAGACAAGTCCTCAGAGGACGAGATTGAGGAGGAAAAGGTATGTGGAACAATGATGCTCCCCTAGGTACAGGTCTAGGATCAGCCTCCCCTCCCCCAATCCTAACCTTAACCATATAGTGGGGAAAAGGCCAAATGGAACAGAGATCAGCATCTAGGGGCAACTTTACCCTATGATCGGAGGCTCCTTATCACCGTGGATAGTAGACAAGGGATACCTTAATAAAATAGCAATGAGTAAGAGATTAAATTAACCTCAGTAATCAGTCAACTAAACTCAATGAATGGGCCCAGTCTGAAAATCACCTTGGATATATCAGTTGTCTAGGGAGAGAGAACTAGGCCTACAGTACTGTGGCACGTTAAGCTTATTGCCTGCTCTGTATAGCAGTGTGATTAAACCCATGTGCCCACAAGCATACTTACAGAATTCTGTTTTTAAGGTAATTTTGCATCGAGGCAGTCTAGCTATTCTAACCATCTTTCTCTACCTCCCAGGAGGTGGTCCCGGTAAAGGCGCCACCCAGAAGGGGCCGAGCGGAGCGCGTGGTGGTTAAGGAGGAGCCTGAGCCGGAGGAGGAGCCTGAGCCGCCTGAGGAGAAGGAGCCCAAAGAAAGGGAGATGAAGAAAGAGGTTAAAAAGGAGAAGAAAGAGGAGGAGCCTGTGGAGCCAGTACAGGAACAGGAAGAGGTCACAGGGGAGAAGGTAAGATGGTTTTGACTAGATGGGATACAGCTTTTGTAAGATTAGGTTGTTCGTAGCAGGGTTAAGAGAATTAACACAACGGGTTAGGAGAATTATTGTAGCGTGTTAGGAAAATGTGTTTAAGGTTAGGAAAGGGGTTGGGGTTAGCTAAAATGCGTTTGACGTTAATTTGACAGTGTTGCCCCTAAGATTTATTTCAGTAGCGGTGGCAAAGTTAGGAGGGGGTGAGGTAGTGGGTGTGGCGAATGGCTCAGTCTCAAACCAATTTTTGACAGCATAGACAATGTTGCTGTTTTAAAGCAAATTTCCTGCAATTCTAAACATTTTGCCATGGCCTTTGCCATGTTCGCTATCTGAGCGACTCAAACATATTCTAACAAAATCAATAGGGGGGTGGGTGCCCAATGCCGTCACATTTTCTTTATTTTAGATTCTCCCTGACTGTCTAGTTTTTATTTTGATGATTTGTTAGTTCTCAAAGATTATCTTATTTTAAAAAAAATATGTAGCTCCATTATCTTTTCTATATACTTTATATCTGGTTTTAGTTATTTAAGTTGACCCCAAAAATTTTTGGGGTAAAACCAAAACATTTGGGGGGGGAGTGGTGGAAACAATTTAACAGTCCGCCGCTGCTAAATGAATGTAGGGGAAACACTGTGACAAAAGCTGTATCCCTTCTAGCCATGACTAGGTAAGACCTCGCCAGTTGGGAATAGTTGGAAGGGACTGAAAAACGTACAGTGCAGTTCGTTGCACTGCAAATATGAAAAATTAATTAGCACTAAAGTCAAGGTTGGTCACCTGTCTTTTTCCGTGTGCGGTTCTTACTCATTTTTGTGCACTATTAGTTAAATGTATTATGCTTTTATTAGTTGTGGTAAGCATGGAGGATCTTTGATGGTTTATAATGTCTCTACGTAACATCTTAACAATTGTCATTCATTCATTGTGACTGTTTTGCCTGCAGCCGAGCGAGGTGAAGGCTGAGGTACGGGAGAAGGTGAAGAAGACTTCGGACACTCCGGTCCACATCACAGCAGGGGGAGAGAACATCTCGGAGGAGTCGGAGGAACTCGACCAGAAGACCTTCAGTGTGGTGAGTCACACCGAGTTGGTCATAGTGTCAGTGATGCAAATAAGTCCACTCAGTGGGTCGAGACGTCTAGGGGTCGGGTCGAGACGTCTAGGGGTCGGGTCGAGACGGTAACTCAAATACTGTCTTACCAATGTTGACCCTCCATTCACTTGTGTATGTCCTGTCTGTGTTCCTCAGTGTAAGGAGAGGATGCGACCGGTCAAGGCAGCCCTGAAGCAGCTGGACCGGCCAGAGAAGGGCCTGTCGGAACGCGAGCAGCTGGAGCACACGCGCCAGTGCCTCATTAAGATCGGAGACCACATCACCGAATGTCTGAAGGAGTACTCCAACCCCGAGCAGATCAAACAGTGGAGAAAGTAAGGAGCTCGATATTAGTTCACATTCAACGTTTTGTTACAATCAATTTGCTGATTTAAGATCAAGCTCTCTGAAATACTGTATATGATACTGATATTTACCCGTGGTATATTTAAGCAGTAAGGCACGAGGAGGTTTGGTATATGGCTATTCCTGGATACAGCCCTTAGCTGTGGTATATTGGCTATATACCACAAACCCCCGAGGTGCCTTATAAACTGGTTACCAACGTAATTAGAGTAGTAAAAACACATGTTTTGTCATACCTGTGGTATATGGTCTGATATACCCAGGCTGTCAGCCAATCAGCATTCAGGGCTCGAACCACCCAGTTTATAATGTCTGATATACCATGATTGTTGAATACTCGTTCTGATTGGCTTGAAGGGCATTCTAGAGGGTGCATTATTTCCCTATAACACACTGTATATCGGCATGGTAGAATTCAATGGCTGTATTTCATTCTTATATGTTTGAGCTGCTTTTGAAAGCAATAGTCGAATTGAAAACATTATTGGCATTGTTGAATTCGATTTTCATAATAGCAAGCTAGGACTGATTTGGTTAGCTAAACTATTTGTTTGGTTACCACGGCAACTACTGTCGCTATCTAGTAAACTTGCTAGCTACTTCAGTGGATGTTGAACACATTTCTACCGGCAAATGAACACATTTCTAGTGGTAAATGTGTTAAGTTATAGCCAAAAAGGGATAATCAACTCGGGGCTCTGTGTTCTAGCGTGTTGTGGATCCACGTCGTTCATTATTTTCCAGAGAACGCATAGCCCCTCGTTGATTATCCATTACAGATACACACAGGCTGGAATGCTGTTTATAAGTACAAACAACATTGGAGGTCATCCCATCCTTGGAAATAGGACAGGCCTTGGCAAACTGACGGAATGTAACGTTTCATAACACTGGGGTTATGAAACAACAGCTCAGGGAATGTAGATGTATGTCCTTTAGCAATCAAACTGAGCTGGCTATGTACCTTTACCATTGACTGCATTCATACCATTACTTTTTATTTTTGTTTAAAAAAATTGTTTCACCTTTATTTAACCAGGTAGGCCAGTTGAGAACAAGTTCTCATTTACAACTGCAACCTGGCCAAGATAAAGCAAAACAGTACAGTCAATAACACAATATAAAATATATATACAGTGTGTGCAAATGTAGTAAGTTATGGAGGTAAGGCAATAAATAGTGCAAAATAATTACAATTTACACTGGAGTGATAGAAGATGATGTGCAAATAGAGATACTGGGGTGCAAATGAGCAAAATAAATAACCATATGGGGATGAGGTAGTTGGGTGGGCTAATTACAGATGGGCTGTGTTATGGGGCTCATTGTATCAATGACCAGTGTTGACCTAAATGCATATTTATTTTTCTCTTCTCCAGAAACCTGTGGATATTTGTTTCAAAGTTTACAGAATTTGATGCAAGAAAATTGCATAAATTGTATAAGCACGCAATCAAGAAAAGACAAGAGAATGCTCAGGTATGTATAAGCCCTGATGAGAGTTACTGTTCCGGGGCGTCGGGGAAATGAAAATACAATTCACTCCATGAAGGTTTAACTGGTAATAAAGTGATACAAATGTAGATTGCATTTCAGACCTTTCCAAATATAATTTTGAATGCCAGTGTTTTATGATGATCTCTTTTACAGGCAGCGGACGTGATCACTAGCACTGTAAATACCCATGGCTTTAAGCATGCAGGTATGAACTTTCACTTGCCTTTTTAGTCTGTCTTTATTTTGTTTATTTATTTGTTCACTAGTTTCTTTTTTTTTTGGGGGGGGGGGGGTGGGGGGGTCTTAATGACATTAATTTAACCAGGTTAAATGAAGGAATACATCAAACAAATATTAATGACCAATGAGATAAAAGCAATTCTATGTAGCCTTATTTACCCCGGATCTTCCTCCTCTCCTCTTGGCCCAGACATCGAGAGGCTAAAGGACAACTCTCACCACGACGACAGCAGCAGGGACAGCTACAGCTCTGAAAGGCACCACTCGTCGTCGCGCTACCATGAGGACCGCGACAGCCGGGACAGGCACACCTCCGACCCCTACAGCAGGATGGCGGGGAGCGGGGGGGACTCCAGGAAGAGACCCTACTCGTCCTTCAGCAACGGCAAAGACCACCGAGACCACTATCGGTCAGACCGGCAGGACAGCAGGTAAGACCACCTATATCGTCTTTAAAGGCTTCCCTGTTTTTAGTAAAGGGTTCCTTTCAAGTTGGTGGCAATTAAGGGACATTTTGATGTTGATTTATTTTACTGACTGGATTATTGTTCTACTGATTAGTTCTAGAATCTAGTGCAACTCGATGCTTAACAAATTGGTCCCATTGTGGATCAACTAATTCTGTAACTAATCATTTCTGTATATTGGTTTTTGTGTTAGTCACTCTTGCTCATGGTGTTCTCTATTAATCAGATACTACAGCGACAGTAAGCACAGGAAGGTGGACGAGCACCGGTCAGGCCGAGATGTACGGCTGGACAGCAAGGAGCGTTCCCACTCGGACCACCGCTCCCATTCCGAACACCACTCGGACCACCGCTCCCATTCCGAACACCACTCGGGCTCCGACTACTCGTCAGGCCACCACAAGTCGTTATCGCGAGGTGACTCCTACCGCTACCATGCAGACTGGCAGATGGACCAACGGGCGTCGGCCAGCGGGCCCCGTTCGCCGCGCGATCAGCGCTCGCCACGCGACCAGCGCTCGCCCTACGACGGACGCTCACCTTTGGGCCACCGGTCGCCCTTCGAGTACTCGTCAGACCACAAGAGCACGCCGGAGCAGATCTGGAGCAGCCGCAAGACATAACCGCCAGCGTCTGGCTGGAGGCGCTAGCCTAGCGACCAGAGTATCAGCCATAGACTCGCGTTGAACACAGGAAATGCCTTATGGGGACTGTGGAGGACAACAAAGCTGTACTGCGCACTGTATCTGTGGCCTCACCGTACCTGTGGTGTCCTATCTCCAACGGTGGACCACATCCCAGGAACGATGGCAGTGGGAGCGGGGTTGGGATGGCAGACAAATTGCATATTTTTGTATTTAAGAGTTAAAAGCTGCACTGTGCCATAGGTGTCGCAGCATAGTTTCTTTTATTATTTTTATAAAATGGACGCCTTTTTTTACTCAAACGGACACAAATACCCTCGAGTGCTGTCTCACCAACCCACAACACTGGATCCTGCTATTGACTGTTTGTCTCTCACGTTTAATGTGGTTCTCACGTTTATTTAAAGAAGTGTTTAAATCAAGAAGAAAAGTAACATTTATGTATTTCTCTCATAATCATGCTAAGAGTGGATGTAAGGGTCTCGTCAAAAAGCAGTCTGAATGACTTGGGTTCACTTTCCAAAGTACCTCGTTTACAGTGTTTCTAGTGACCACCTTGACGATCTGTTTTTTTCTTTCTTTTTCGTATCATGCTTTAATTATTTAATTTCTGTCTCCGCTGTAAAAATAACCAGGATTTCTTTTTTTGTGAGCAATTTAAAATGTCCCTTTTCACGAATTATACTACTGTAAATTATTGTAAAATAGTAAATCAATGGGCTTTTTCTTCTCAGGCTCTTGGGTTTGTTATTACAACTCTTCCCCATCAACTCAGGCTTTTTTGTCCGTTGTATTAAATGAGTCAGTTTTCGTACGACACTTAACTTTAATGATAAATGCTATTCAGAATAACTTTGGTAAACAGGGGGAAATTATTATATTAGTCGTATTATTCCCCTAGAGCAGGGGTACTCAACTCAATACCCCACGAGGTCCAGAGCCTGCTGGTTTTCTGTTCTACCTGATAATTAATTGCACCCACCTGGTGTCCCAGGTCTAAATCAGTCCTTGATTAGAGGGGAACAATTTAAAAAATGCAGTGGAACTGGCTTGGAGGCCCAGAGCGGAGTTTAGAGGGCTCTAGAGCGACTTCGTTTTATTTCTGTTAATTTTGTGAATTCTGTTGTGAATACGTGTCAGAATCGACGAGTTGAAAGATCTCAAGTTTTACTACAACATGTAGCAGAGGGGGTTTATCAAATACAAGCGCCTGTAAGATCTCAAATAAACTAGTCTTTTTACAGAAATCATTTTTTTCTTTTCTTTTTTAACATTAGGCAATAATGTCAAATCTTCTATGCAGCCAAGTGTATTTCTGGTGAACAGCCTGACTGAGTGAAGCTGCTGTTACGGTTCACAGTTGTACATAGATTTTCCTCTATATTTCAAAATGAATTTACACTGAAAATGCATGGATTTTTAAGAATTGTTTTATATAGTTTATAAAAGTCATTAAACTCAATCACTGTACTCCCTTGTAATCTGGAATGGTCTTCGTGTTGGTGCAGATGTCACAATACTGGAATTCTGGATACAAATATCCCCCTTTTTGTCTTTGGTTTAAAGACGATCTCGGGTAACAGTGGTCGCCAGTTTTTTACAATGGAGTAAGCTATGACCCAGAATACATCTCTCCCTCAACCCATTTTAAGAGACAATGGACCAGGGCAGCGTAAAAGCTGTGGTTGCTCTATCACTAGCTACAGGAGGCATGCCTGTCGTTTTTGAATGGATAATTCACCCAAATAACAAATTACTTTTGTTTCCTTACTATGAGAGAATACAATCCACAATTTGGGTTTGTTTACCTAGCTACTGTCAACAACAGCTAACTTGAGCATTTTCTAACCAATAAATAATGGAGGTCAAAGTACCTGATATTAGAATGTTTCAATGTCATGCACATATCCTCCACAGGAGGTTGGTGGCACCTTAATTGGGGAGAACTGGCTTGTGGGTAATGACTGGAGCGGAATCAGTGGAATGGTATCAAATACAAACATAGTTTCCAGGTGTTTGATGCCATTCCATTTTCTCCGTTCTGGCCATTTATTATGAGCCGTTCTCCCCTCAGCAGCCTCCACTGTGTTATCCTCCCGAAGTATAAGTTACTTTATGATGGTGAGGACTGTCAAACTGATTTAATCACCAGTTTTATACCGAATACTTGTACAGGACACATTTGACCAACTCATGTGCCAATGAGTTATCCTTCACCAAGTGGTAGATGAATTCACACACCATAACCACTATTCCTAGACTAAAAAAAACATGTTATTTAAAAGAGCTTATTAGACCAACACTAGGTTTATTTATTTGTAAAACTGACTGTTTAGCTAGCACACACTGGAATATGTTCCGGGATTCGTCCAATGGCATTGAGGAGTATACCACATCAGTCACCGGCTTCATTAAGTGCATCCACGACGTCGTCCCCACAGTGACTGTACGTACACTACCGGTCAAAAGTTTTAGAACACCTACTCATTACATTGACATTTTAGTCATTTAGCAGACGCTCTTATCCAGAGCGACTTAATGAGTGCATACATTTTTTCATACTGGCCCCCCGTGGGAAAAGAACCCACAACCCTGGCGTTGCAAGCGCCATGCTCTACCAACTGAGCTACACGAGACCCTTTCTTTATTTTTACTATTTTCTACATTATAGATTAATAGTGAAGACATCAACACTATGAAATAACACATGGAATCATGTAGTAACCAGAAAGTGTTAAACAAATCAAAATATTTTGTATTTGAGATTCTTCAAATTGCCACCCTTTGCTTTGACAGCTTTGCACACTTGGCATTCTCTCAACCAGCTTCACCTGGAATGCTTTTCCAACAGTCTTGAAGGAGTTCCCACATGCTGAGCACTTGTTGGTTTGGTTGAGGTCGGGGGATTGTGGAGGCCAGGTCATCTGATGCAGCACTCCATCACTCTCTTTCTTGGTAAAATAGCCTTACACAGCCTGGAGGTGTGTTGGGTCATTGTCCTGTTGAAAAACAAATGATAGTCCCACTAAGCATAAACCAGATGGGATGGTGTATCATAACACATAACACCTCAATGCTTCACGTGGGAAATACACATGCAGAGATCATCCGTTCACCCACACCGCTTCTCATAAAGACAGTGGTTGGAACCAAAAATCTAAAATTTGGACTCCAGACCAAAGGACAAAGTTTCACCGGTCTAATGTCCATTGCTCATGTTTCTTGGCCCAAGCAAGTCTCTTCTTCTTATTGGTGTCCTTAAGTAGTGGTTTCTTTGCAGCAATTCGATCAAGAAGGCCTGATTCACACAGTCCCCTCTGAACAGTTGATGTTGAGATGTGTATTTTACTTGAACTCTGTGAAGCATTTATTTGGGCTGCAATTTCTGAGGCTGGTAACTAATGAATTTATACTCTGCAGAGGCGCTTGATGGTTTTTGCAACTGCAATTGAAGAAACGTTTAAAGTTCTTGAAATTGTCCATATTGACTGAACATGTCTTCAAGTAATGATGGACTGTTGTTTCTCTTTGCTTATTTGAGCTGTTCTTGCCATAATATGGACTTGGTCTTTTACCAAATAGGGCTATCTTCTGTATATCCCTTACCTTGTCACAACACAACTAATTGGCTCAAACACATTAAGAAGGAAATAAATTCCACAAATTAACTTTTAAGAAGGTACACCTGTTAATTGAAATGGATTCCAGGTGACTACCTCATGAAGCTGGTTGAGAGAATGCCAAGAGTGTGCAAAGCTGTCATCAAGGCAAAGGGTGGCTATTTGAAGAATCTCAAATATAAAATATACAGTGGGGGGAAAAAAGTATTTAGTCAGCCACCAATTGTGCAAGTTCTCCCACTTAAAAAGATGAGAGAGGCCTGTAATTTTCATCATAGGTACACGTCAACTATAACAGACAAATTGAGGGAAAAAAAATCCAGAAAATCACATTGTAGGATTTTTAATGAATTTATTTGCAAATTATGGTGGAAAATAAGTATTTGGTCACCTACAAACAAGCAAGATTTCTGGCTCTCACAGACCTGTAACTTCTTTAAGAGGCTCCTCTGTCCTCCACTCGTTACCTGTATTAATGGCACCTGTTTGAACTTGTTATCAGTATAAAAGACACCTGTCCACAACCTCAAACAGTCACACTCCAAACTCCACTATGGCCAAGACCAAAGAGCTGTCAAAGGACACCAGAAACAAAATTGTAGACCTGCACCAGGCTGGGAAGACTGAATATGCAATAGGTAAGCAGCTTGGTTTGAAGAAATCAACTGTGGGAGCAATTATTAGGAAATGGAAGACATACAAGACCACTGATAATCTCCCTCGATCTGGGGCTCCACGCAAGATCTAACCCCGTGGGGTCAAAATGATCACAAGAACGGTGACAAAAATCACAGAACCACACGGAGGGACCTAGTGAATGACCTGCAGAGAGCTGGGACCAAAGTAACAAAGCCTACCATCAGTAACACACTACGCCGCCAGGGACTCAAATCCTGCAGTGCCAGACGTGTCCCCCTGCTTAAGCCATACATGTCCAGGCCCGTCTGAAGTTTGCTAGAGTGCATTTGGATGATCCAGAAGAGGATTGGGAGAATGTCATATGGTCAGATGAAACCAAAATAGAACTTTTTGGTAAAAACTCAACTCATCGTGTTTGGAGGACAAAGAATGCTGAGTTGCATCCAAAGAACACCATACCTTCTGTGAAGCATGGGGGTGGAAACATCATGCTTTGGGGCTGTTTTTCTGCAAAGGGACCAGGACGACTGATCCGTGTAAAGGAAAGAATGAATGGGGCCATGTATCGTGAGATTTTGAGTGAAAACCTCCTTCCATCAGCAAGGGCATTGAAGATGAAACACGGCTGGGTCTTTCAGCATGACAATGATCCCAAACACTCCGCCCGGGCAACGAAGGAGTGGCTTCGTAAGAAGCATTTCAAGGTCCTGGAGTGGCCTAGCCAGTCTCCAGATCTCAACCCCATAGAAAATCTTTGGAGGGAGTTGAAAGTCTGTGTTGCCCAGCGACAGCCCCAAAACATCACTGCTCTAGAGGAGATCTGCATGGCGGAATGGGCCAAAATACCAGCAACAGTATGTGAAAACCTTGTGAAGACTTACAGAAAACGTTTGACCTGTGTCATTGCCAACAAAGGGTATATAACAAACTATTGAGAAACTTTTGTTATTGACCAAATACTTATTTTCCACCATCATTTGCAAATAAATTCATTAAAAATCCTACAATGTGATTTTCAGGATTTTTTTTTCTCATTTTGTCTGTCATAGTTGACGTGTATCTGTGATGAAAATTACAGGCCTCTCTCATCTTTTTAAGTGGGAGAACTTGCACAATTGGTGGCTGACTAAATACTTTTTTTCCCCACTGTATTTTGATTTCTTTAACACTTCTTTGGTTACTACATGATTCCATATGTGTTATTTCATAGTTTTGAGAAAATAGTAAAAATAAAGAAAAACCCTGGAATGAGCAGGTGTGTCCAAACTTTTGACTGGTACTGTAAGTATTCAGACCCTTTGCTATGATATTCGAAATTGAGCTCAGGTGCATCCTGTTTCCATTGATCATCCTTGAGATGTTTCTACAACTTGATTGGAGTCCACCTGTGGTATATTCAAATGATTGGACATGATTTGGAAAGGCACACACCTGTCTATATAAGGTCCCACAGTTGACAGCGCATGTCAAACCAAGCCATGAGGTCGAAGAAATTGTCCGTAGAGCTCCGAGACAGGATTGTGTCGAGGCACAGCTCTGGGGAAGGGTACCAAAACATTTCTGCAGCATTGAAGGTCCCCAAGAACAGAGTGGCCGCCAACATTATTAAATGGAAGAAGTTTGGAAGCACCAAGACTCTTCCTGGAACTGGCCGCCCGGCCAAACTGAGCAATCGGGGGACAAGGGCCTTGGTCAGGGAGGTGACCAAGAACCCGATGGTCACTCTGACAGAGCTCCGGAGTTTCTCTGGAGATGGGAGAACCTTCCAGTAGGACAACCATCTCTGCAGCACTCCACCAATTAGGCCTTTTGGTAGAGTGGCCAAACGGAAACCACTCCTCAGTAAAAGGCACATGACAGCCTGCTTGGAGTTTGCCAAAAGGCACCTAAAGGAGTCGCAGACCATGAGAAACAAGATTCTCTGGTCTGATGAAACCAAGATTGAACTCTTTGGCCTGAATGCCAGGCGTCACGTCTGGAGGAAACCTGGCACCATCACTATGGTGAAGCATGCTGGTGGCAGCATCATGCTGTAAGTATGTTTTTCAGCGGCAGGGACTGGGAGACCAGTCAAGATCGAGGGAAAGATGAACGGAGCAAAGTACAGAGAGATCCTTAATGATGAAAACCTGTTCCAGAGCGATCAGGACCTCAGACTGGGGCGACGGTTCACCTTCCAACAGGACAACGACCCTAAGCACACAGCCAAGACAACGCAGGAGTGGCTTCGGGACAAGTCTCTGAATGTCCTTGAGTGGCCCAGCCAGAGCCCGAACTTGAACCCGATCGAACATCTCTGGAGAGACCTTACAAATAGCTGTGTAACGACGCTCCCCATCCAACCTGACAGAGCTTGAGAGGATCTGCAGAGAAGAATGGGAGAAACTCCCCAAATACAGGTGTGCCAAGCTTGTAGCGTCATACCCAAGAAGACTCAAGGCTGTAAACGCTACCAAAGATGCTTCAACAAAGTACTGAGTAAAGGGTCTGAATACTTATGTAAATGTATTATTTCAGCTTTTTATTTTTAATACATTTGCAAAAAAAATCGAAAAATCTGTTTTTGCTTTGTCATTATGCTGTATTGTGTGTAGCTTGATGAGGGGAATAAAAAAAATCCATTTTAGAATAAGACTGTAACGTGGAAAAAGTCAAGGGGTGAATTCATCTCCCAGTGCCTGGTGGAAAGCAGGCTGAACCAGGTTTTCCTCTAGAGTTTTGCCTGTGCTTAGCTCCATTCCGTTTCTTTTTTATCCTGAAAAATGCCCGTCCTTAACGATTACAAGAATACCCATAACATAATGCAACCACCACTATGCTTGGAAATGTGCAGAGTGGTACTTAGTAATGTGTTGTACTGGATTTGCCCCAAACATAACACTTTGTATTTAGGACAAAAAGTGAATTGCTTTGCCACATTATTAGCAGTATTACTTTAGTGCCTTGTTGCAAACAGGAAGCATATTTTTGAATATTTTTATTCTGTACAGGCTTCTTTATTTTCACTCTGTCAATTAGGTTAGTATTGTGGAGTAACTATAATGTTGTTGATCCATCCTCAGTTTTCTATCACAGCCATTAAACTCTAACTGTTTTAAAGTTACCATTGGCCTCATGGTGAAATCCCTGAGCGGTTTCCTTCCTCTCCAGCAACTGAGTTAGGAAGGACGCCTGTATCTTTGTAGTGACACCATTCAAAATTTAATGAATAACTTCACCATGCTCAAAGGGATATTCAATGTCTGCTTTAAAAAAAATAAACAATCTACCAATACGAACCCTTCTTTGCGAGGCATTGGAAAACCTATTTTTGTAGTTAAATCTGTGTTTGAAATTCACTGCGTGACCGAGGGACCTTACAGATAATTGTATGTGTTGGGTACAGAGATGAGGTATTCAAAAATCACGTTATTCAAAAATCACTATTATTGCACACAGATGAGTCCATGCAACGTATCATATGACTTGTTAAGAAAAGCTTTACTCCAGAACTTATTTAGCTTGCCAGAACAAAGGGGTTGAATACTTATTGACTCAAGACATTTCAGCTTTTCATTTTTAATTCATTTGTAAAAATTCCACTTTGACATTCTGGGGTATTGTGTGTAGGCCAGTGACAAAAATATATAATTTAATCAATTTAAAAAATTCAGACTGTACCACAACAAAATGTGGAAAAAGTCAAGGGGTGTGAATACTTTCTGAAGGCACTGTACCTACCTAAATTACCTTGAACCCCTGCACATCGACTCGGTACTGGTGCCCGTGTATTTAGCCAAGTTATCGGTTTTATTATTACGTCTTTTACTTTTCTATTATTTCTCTATTGTCTTTCTCTCTGCATCGTGGGGAAGGGCCCGTAAGCAAGCATTTCACTGTTAGTGTACATCTGTTGTTTATGAAGCATGTGATGAATAACATTTTATTTGATTGAAATGTAAAGGTAATTGAGCCAACTTAGGCATCGTTTACCGCATACTCCGCTAAAGCGGGAACATTGCCTTTAAATTTCAATCACGCTGTAAAGATGAATCTCTGCGACGCGGAATGAATAGAGCCCTTAATCTGTGTTCCGGAAGCGGCCCCTCAATGTGTGAACTATATTTTGGAACGAGGGACAACGTGCTAAAGTAGAGCTGCTATTCAATACAAACATGACCCACCCCGGATGTCTTGACACAGGGGGGGAGTAGCTCAACTCAAATAAGCTAGAGAGGTTTAATCAAATGTAATATAACTTGACACTATTGAGCATTATGAACACTGAACATTGCCCTCACACTGTCATTGTATTTTTTGTTTTGTAGAACAGCGTGCCTGCCACCACTTAGCATTGATCTCTTCACCACAGCTATGTCATTCAACAGACTAGGCCTGGCTTTTGGTCATTTTCATACAGTACATTCTATATGGACAAGAGTGACGCAACTTTTATACAAGCATCTCTCCATCACAATATGAGACCAATAAAAACATCAGTGTGCAGATAGAAATTCATGGATAGCAGCGACATTGATCAACTATAGAAATGACTGATACATAAATCTGTATGTGTATGGATAAAATACTCATATGAAAACGTAAATAAATGCTTGGAAATATATACTTACCATCTACATATATATTTTATACAGAGATCAAAACATATATAACGCCATTAAATAGCAAAGTCCCTGAGCTTGCTGTTTGCAGCCAGTGCAGTTGCATAGCAACACTTTCCTGGAGTTGCATAGCAACACTTCCCCGGTCTCTAGGCTCCTGGTCCATTTACACATCTTCTTTGTTGTCATTTTTTGTCCAGAACCGTTGGATTACCTTACACACCAATCTATGGTCAGGATGTCTCCTCTTCCAGGTATTCCACCAGGTAAGGGTCCCCTTTTTTTATGGCCTGGTACAGCTGTTCCTGGGCACGAGGTCCCTTCCTCATAACCATTTCCAGAAGGGCCTTGTTCCTCTGGACCCGTGAACTTATGTTGTCAATCTTCTCTCTCTCCATATCGTTCAGTACTTTACATCCCTGGAGCTTGAGGAGTATAGGTTGTAATTCACCCATGTGTTCCTCCAGTTTCACTCTTTGTTTTGTTATGAAGTTCTCTCCTGAGAGAGTAGGAGGATCGGCAGGAGGGGCTACAGAGAGAGGGCCGGAAGCTGAGAGAGGGGAAAATGCTATCTTTAAAATACAGTTTAGCATGATAAACTCAAGATGTATGCTAAACATCGAAGATAAATTATGACCTCAAGTCAATATTATTTTTTACTACACAGGAGCACTACGAATCAGATTTCTTTATTTCAATAATGTCTTCTTTTATTATTGTGAAATCATTAAATTGTGAGGTTTATAATGGTAAATCTCAGCGGAATCTCAAGTTACCTGTAGAGATGACTTCCGTTGGTGAAACTGTGACTGAGAAAAGAAGACCGTCTGATTAACGTTAATATAAGACTGCGTTCATTATAACCAATACTTATGATATAAAGATATACTAATTCAGTAACAACAACTGCAATACTAGTACTCCAACTTTGTGTTACCTGGAAGCCAGACAAGCCTGTCCCACACAGACTCTGCACCGCCATTTTCTTTCAGGAGGAGATCAACTTGTTCAACGACAGTTTGTAAGAACAACTGAAATGTTGGGATGTAGTTTTCATAGGATTCGAAATCCACGAATGCTGCATCCTGGTGAAAAATACAGTTAGTCGGTTATAGAATTTTAATGTGCAAATAGATTTTCATCTAATTATTTTTCTCTAACTCATCACCTTTGGTCTTATTTGATGTTCATCTACAAGATCAGTGGAGAGGGTATATTCTTGCTTTGGGATTAGTTGGCAGTGAGCATTAGTTTCAATGTAGATTTCTTCATCTCCATTCCTTCTCTTCCACTCCTCCTGTACCTTTGAATGTTTTCATAAAAGCACATTTTGGTTATCCAATGTTTAAACTATAAAACATTATCCGAGTGATAACGTTACCAAAACATGCATTTAGTATATTCCCGCCAAAGTATTGTTTGACATCTCTGATCTGCTTACCTACCTCCCTGATCATAACATTTCTGGGAAGCAACAACACATTCAGGATGGACCTCTTTTTAGGAACAACTGGGGGTTTGTAGAATAACAAGACAAGTGCACGTATAGGAACAGTGGGTGAGTCATCTTCCTTGACGACGCCATAAGCAGAGAATCCAGTGATGTTTAATATGACATGTTTGTCTGTTATCTGAACGTCACGGATAAACTCCAAACTGTCATCCATTACATGGGCTACAGACAGGAAGTCACATCCACCCTCTGGGAAATAAAGAGAACATGCGGAGCTTATTTCTCTGACTTGATTATCGATGATTAGTAATGAGAATAGCTAAATGATGAGATTGATCAATAAATTATGACAGGCTCATTCGAAATGACAGTGGTCTTGAAGCACTATGACTTTCATGAAAGCGTCACTCACTAGAATGAAGCTCACAGTGTGGGAGGTGTAGTTGACAGACAGACCCTTTAAGGCATGTGAATTTGAACAGGGGTCCTGCAGGCCTCTTGCCTCTCTGTGCTAGAAGCCTCCTGTCCCAGGGGACTGTCCAATAGAGCACTTCCCCCTCCCCCTCCATCCCAAACCCCAGACCGGTTACACCACTTGGGAACAGACCTGCACAGGGGCACTTGAACCTAGTGTAGAGCATATGACAATGACGTGGCATCATGACATGTTCATTTTACATTCTTAAAGTGTCAATTTCAACATGTTATCCTCTCATAAATGGAAAAGAAGAACAGGTTACCGGTATGCTCCCCTGCTCTCGTCATATATTTCTGTTTCCAAGTTATCAGGAAATGCCTAAAATGTAACAACACCAGTAGATTTTGAACCCATAGTTGAAATATCTGCTACCGTTCAAAAGTTTGGGGTCAGGTTAGAAATGTCCTTGTTTTCGAAAGAAAAGCAAATTTTTTGTCCATTAAAATAACATCAAATTGATCAGAAATACAGTGTAGACATTGTTAATGTTGTAAATGGCTATTGTAGCTGGAAACGGCTGATTTTTAATGGAATATCTACATAGGCGTACAGAGGCCCATTATCAGCAACCATCAGTCCTGTGTTCCAATGGCACGTTGTGTTTGCTAATCAAAGTTTATCATTTTAAAAGGCTAATTGATCATTAGAAAACCCTTTTGCAATTATGTTAGCACAGCTGAAAACTGTTGTGCTGATTAAAGAAGCAATAAAACTGGCCTTCTTGAGACTAGTTGAGTATCGGGAGCATCAGCAATTGTGTGTTTAATTACAGGATCAGAATGGCCAGAAACAAATAACTTTCTTCTGAAACTCGTCAGTCTATTCTTGTTCTGAGAAATTAAGGCTATTCCATGCAAGAAATTCCCAAGAAACTGAAGATCTCTTACAACGCTGTGTACTACTCCATTCACAGAACAGCACAAACTGGCTCTAACCAGAATAGAAAGAGGAGTGGGAGGCCCCGGTGCACAACTGAGCAAGAGGACAAATACATTAGAGTGTCTAGTTTGAGAAACAGACGCCTCACAGGTCCTCAATTGGCAGCTTCATTAAATAGTACCCGCAAAACACCAGTCTCAACGTCAACAGTGAAGAGGCGACTACGGGATGCTGACCTTCTAGGCAGAGTTTAAAAGAAAAAGCCATATCTCAGACTGGCCAATAAAAAGAAAAGATGGGCAAAAGAACACAGACACTGGACAGAGGAAGATTGGAAAAAAGTGTTATGGACAGACAAATCGAAGTTTGAGGTGTTCGGATCACAAAGAATAACATTTGTGAGACGCAGACCAAATGAAAAGATGCTGGAGGAGTGCTTGATGCCATCTGTCAAGCATGGTGGAGGCAATGTGATGGTCTGGGGGTGCTTTGGTGGTGGTAAAGTGGGAGATTTGTACAGGGTAAAAGGGATCTTGAAGAAGGAAGGCTATCACTCCATTTTGCAACGCCATGCCGTACCCTGTGGATGGCACTTGATTCGAGCCAATTTCCTCCTAAAACAGGACAATGACCCAAAGCACAGCTCCAAACTATGCAAGAACTATTTAGGGAAGAAGCAGTCAGCTGGTATTCTGTCTATAATGGGGTGGCCAGCACAGTCACCGGATCTCAACCCTAATGAGCTGTTGTGGGAGCAGCTTGACCGTATGGTACTTAAGAAGTACCCATCAAGCCAATCCAACTTGTGGGAGGTGTTTCAGGAAGCATGGGGTGAAATCTCTTCAGATTACCTCAACAAATCGACAACTAGAATGCCAAAAGTCTGCAAGTGTCATGCCCTGGCCTTGAGAACCCGGTTGTCTTTAGTTGGTTTGGTCAGGGTGTGAATTTCTATGTGTATATCTAGTTTTGTATTTCTATGTTGGCCGGGTGTGGTTCCCAATCAGAGGCAGCTGTCTATCGTTGTCTCTGATTGGGGATCATACTTAGGCAGCCATGTTGCCTACCTTAGTTGTGGGATCTTGTTTGTGTTCCTGTTAGGCTTGTTGTGTGTATAGCCCATAGGACTTCACATTTTCGTTGTTTTGTTATTTTGTCAAGTGTTTATTCTTCTTAATAAACATGTACGCATACTACGCTGCACCTTGGTCTGACCCGTCTCTCAATGATCGTGACAGCAAGGCTGTAATTGCTGCAAATGGAGGATTCTTTGACGAAAGCAAAGTTTGAAGGACACAATTATAATTTCAATTAAAAATCATTATTTCTAACCTTGTCAATGACTACATTTCCTATTCATTTTGCTATTTTTCCTATTCAAACTCATTTCATGTATGTTTTCATGGAAAACAAGGACATTTCTAAGTGGCCCCAAACTTTTGAACGGTAGTGTATGTATTTAACTTCTCTCTTTCTTTCTTGCCAGTGAGGATCGTATATTACCTGGAGAGGGTCAGTCATACACATAGCTTGGCCGACCTTTCCTAATACATTGCTTAATAATTGCTCCTTGGTATCAGTTAAGCTTTGAGACGGATTGACTTCGATACGTTCCTCGCTCTCCTCTTCCTTTGATCGTTCTCTAGTTGAGGGACGACTGGGAAGGCTTGACAGGGCTACAGAGGAATATTTGGGTTTCAGGAAGAGAGGAGAATCTACAAACAGATAGCAAAGAGTGCACATTTCATTTAGTTAGTTATTAGTCTGCAACTGAGGTAACAGGATGATGACATGAGGAACTTCGCATTTCCTCTAAATTACAAACACTGTAGTTACCCTCTATAGAAGTGAAACCTGTGCTTCTGAGATGCATTATCAAGGAGGAACTTGGAGCATAAACGTTACATCTTCATTAACATTCTATAATGAGAATGAAAGAAGCTCAGGCACTCTTTGTTTGAACACACTGACTAAGAACCTGCACTTACTTCTGCTGTGTTCTCTCTTTAATTCATCGGCAAGATTATGCTGATTCATCTCCCTCAGGATCTTCAGTGTGATCTCCACAGCTCCCTCAGGGCCGAAGATCTGCACCATTTGATCAACTGTGACCTCTATGTTGGCGTACCTTAGCTGGCTGGCTGGGATTGGAGGAAAGCCAGGCAGCAGGCTGCTAGTTAGGAAAAACTTAAATCTCCTCCGCACTTGTTTGCTCAGCTCCATCAGAGTGGCCCGCAGCAGATCTGCAACAGGCAGCTTTGTGGGTCCCTTTATAAAAAAAGACAACAGAAGGATTTGAATCTTTCTCGGGTGGGGAGCACCCCAAAGAGGGGAGCACCCCAAAGAGCAGAGCCTAAAGGACAAGACCAAATGTATTATCATTCATATTTTGCACACAATAACAAGTTAACTGCATACATGAGTTCCAATGATAGAACCAGGTATGATTGTGTCTGTGAACCAAAAACATCACCTTTCCTTCTCACCATGACATCTCTGTTGCTATGAATTGCAATAGCTTTTTCTTGCTCCTCTTTTTTTGCAGAGGGACTAGAAACAAAAAGATCCTCCTCTTTCTCTTTACCCTTGGACAAAGATGACGTGTGACATGCTGTCTTACTTTGCTCTCTTCTTCTTCCTGTAGTATCAGAAGAGAGGTATCAATAATAACAACAATTTAATAACAGGTAAGTGGGAGTGGGAAAGGCAACATTTGGTAGTCAACCACACACAAAAGCAGCACCATTTTGAAATGTCATACACACTTATTTTCATAGAATTTTACCTTGAACATAACATACAGTACCAGTCAAATGTTTGGACACCTACTCATTCAAGGGTTTTTCTTTATTTTTACTATTTTCTACATTGTAGAATAATAGTGAAGACATCAAAACTATGAAATAACACATATGGAATCATGTAGTAACCAAAAAAGTGTTAAACAAATCAAAATATATTTTAGATTTTAGATTCTTCAAAGTAGCCACCCTTTGCCTTGATGACAGCTTTGCACACTCTTGGCATTCTCTCAACCAGCTTCACCTGGAATGCTTTTCCAACAGTCTTGAAGGGGTTCCCACATATGCTGAGCACTTGTTTTTCCTTCACTCTGTGGTCCAACTCATCCCAAATCATCTCAATTGGGTTGAGGTCGGGTGATTGTGGAGGCCAGGTCATCTGATGCAACACTCCATCACTCTCCTTCTTGGTCAAATAGCCCTTACACAGCCTGGAGGTGTGTTGGGTCATTGTCCTGTTGAAAAACGTATGATAGTCCCACTTAGCGCAAACCAGATGGGATGGCATATCGCTGTGGTAGCCATGCTGGTTAAGTGTGCCTCAAATTCTAAAGAAATCACCAACAGTGTCACCAGCAAAGCACCCCCACACCATCACACCTCCTCCTCCATGCTTCACGGTGGGAACTACACATGCAGAGATCATCCGTTCACCTATTCTGCGTCTCACAAAGACACAGCGGTTGGAACCAAAAATCTCAAATTTGGACTCATCAGTCAAAGGACAGATTTCCACCGGTCTAATTGCTCGTGTTTCTTGGCCCAAGCAAGTCTCTTCTTCTTATTGGTGTGCTTTAGTAGTGGTTTCTTTGCAGCAATTCGACCATGAAGGCCTGATTCACGCAGTCTCCTCTGAACAGTTGATGTTGAGATGTGTCTGTTACTTGAACTCTGTGAAGCATTTATTTGGGCTGCAATTTCTGAGGCTGGTAACTCTAATGAACTTATCCTCTGCAGCAGAGGTAACTCTGGGTCTTCCATTCCTGTGGCGGTCCTCATGAGAGCCAGTTTCATCATAGCGCTTGATGGTTTTTGTGACTGCACTTGAAGAAACTTTCAGAGTTCTTGACATTTTCCATATTGACTGACCTTCATGTCTTAAAGTAATGATGGACTGTTTTTTCTCATTGCTTATTTGAGCTCTTCTTGCCATAATATGGACTTGGTCTTTTACCAAATAGGGCTATCTTCTGTATACCCCCCCTACCTTGTCACAACACAACTGATTGGCTCAAGCGCATTAAGAAGGAAAGAAATTCCACAAATTAACTTTCAAGAAGGCAAACCTGTTAATTGAAATGCATTCCAGGTGACTACCTCATGAAGATGGTTGAGAGAATGCCAAGAGTGTGCAAAGCTGTCATCAAAGCAAAGGATGGCTACTTTGAAGAATCTCAAATATAAAATATATTTTGATTTGTTTAACACGTTTTTGGTTACTACTATGTGTTATTTCATAGTTTGATGTCTTCACTATTATTCTACAATGTAGAAAATAGTAAAAATAAAGTAAAACCCTTGGTCGCTGGTTTGAATCCCCAAGCCGGCAAGTTGGAAAAATCTCCCGCTCTGCCCTTGAGCAAGGCAGTTAACCCCCAAAAACTTCTCCCTGGGTGCTGTGGATGTCGATTAAAGCAGCCCCCTGCACCTCTCTGATTCAAAGGGGTTGGGTTAAATGCAGAATACACATTTAGGTTGAATGCATTCAGTTGTGCAACTGACTAGTATTCCCCCCAACCTTTTTGATTGATGTTTTGAGGTTCTCGCTACTGCTTAAGAGGAAAGGAGCGATTTTTTTTTTTTTTTCAAATCTACCACAATTACAAACTTCCATATTTTCTGATTGTTCCCTCTGAACTGTTTGTAATCACTCATGACATCCTATGCCAAATGTTGCTTGCTGGTAACAATGTCCTCATAATGCACAGATTGGTTTGTCTTGCTGTTTTACCTAGTCTGTAATTATTCCTTAACTTGTCAGCGAGATCAAACCACTTCATCATCTTCAGGATCACCACGGTGATCTTTACAGCATACTCGAGGCTGTAGCACTGCACCATTTTATCCACTGTGACCTTTGTGTCAGCATTCTCCAGCTGGCTCCATGAGATGGGAGGAAATATGGACAGCAGGCAGTGAGCCAGGTGACTCAGAAATCTCTTAAACTCTTCTGCGTTTAGCATCTCTAGAGTAGCGAGGAGCAGATCTGGAACAGTTGGCATTGTGGGGCTCAAAGAACTCATGTTGATGTATTCCCCTTGATCATCGGAAACTCTGTGAGACGAGGATGGTGTTCTGACTTGAAGATCGTCTAATGAGAGACTGCGTTTCAACATCCCTTTTAGTTTAGGTTTGATATCGGGGTAAAGGCCTTCTGTGAGCAAGAAAGAGAGTGAGAACAGGTTATCATTTCACAGTAGCTGTCTTCTTACTGAATAATCAGTAGAAATCATGGCATGGGGTTATTCAATGACAGACATGTATTTGTTTAAAATCTTATCACTTGATGGTTTCATTTCAGACAGACAAATAATCATGTTTTTTGCTAAATGATATATATCCGTCTCACTCTCGGATAAATAAGTAGTACTGCTAGGTTTTACACAGTAAAATGTAACAAATAACTAAACCTTTTATAAATAAATGTACAAATGAGATCTGTATGTAAATCATTTACAATTTACATTTTAGTCACTTAGCAGATGCTCTTATCCAGAGCGAATTACAGTAAGTGCATTTATTTCAAAGATAGCTAGGTGAGACAACCACATCACAGTCAAATATACAGGATACAAACATTCCACAATGGATCTACAGCGTTTTGCAACAAAAAAAACTTGTTTTCATACACATCTAAAATCTCTGAATTAAAGATCTAAGAACAGTAATATTTTACACACACATAAAGTTACCCATATGCAATCATTTCTGATGAAAAAATAGGTGGATATGGTGTTTTAGAAATAAAATACTATTTCAGCAGTTGAAAATAAAGCTGAATGACAGACAAAAGTGTATGTTAGTATAGATCTCATGCTCATCACCTGCTCCTCTCTCAGGAATGGTTATGTGCGGTGGCGCTGAAGTGGAGGTAATGTCTATGACATCACAGATCTCATATTCTTCATGTTCTCCTTCAGGAACGCTTATGTGAGCTTGTGTTGACCGCGAAATTAGGTCATCATAGCACATGACGTCATATTCTTCACCTGCACCTTCTTCAATGTCATCATAGGTCTCCTGGTCTCCACTTGCTCCAGGGGAAGTCAGTAAGTATTTAAAGAATGGCGTAACCTGTCCGTAGTTTATCTCTAACTTTTCTGCGAGATGGAACTGTTTTAAATTCTTCAGGATCCTCAGTGTGATTTTCACAGCAACCTCAGGGCCGAAGCTCTGCACCATCTCATCCACTGTGTCCTGCCTGTCAGGGTCATCCAGCTGGCTCTCTGGGATGGGAGGAAAGATGGGCAGCAGACTAGTCAAGAACCACTGAAATCGCTCCAGTTTTCCTCCTCCCTCAGCCAACTCCTCCAGAGTGGCCAGCAGCAGCTCCTTAGCAGGTAGCATTGTGGTTCCCTAAAACAACCAAAAACAGGTGAGTAGTCTGTGACATGTAAACTTATATAATTTGAGCAAAGAACATGAACACATCCATATTGTTAGTAGAACATACTAGAATCTTTCCACTGGCTCTTATCCAGAGTGACTTACATTCATCTTAAGATAACTACAGATGTAGGATCTTGATTTGACCAGTTTCTCACAGCAGTAAAATAATCCTGCAGCAACATGAAATGTGAATTATTGTGTGGAGTGTAATTCAATTTACATTTTTGTAGGGGTTGATACATTATTTGTTAGGGCAAATCATGTCTGAACATGTAAAGTGGAAATTACTAACATTAAAAAGCCTTTTTAAACCTTGAATACACTAAGTTTGCATTTCCTGCAACAACAGGGCGATAAAATGAAGATCCTACAACTGTAGGTGAGACATATCACAGTCCTAGTAAGTAAAATGTTTCTCAATAAAGACGTTATCAGCAAAGTCAGCTCTAGTAGGAAAGGACAAGTGCAGGTTATTTATTTTTCCTTCACTCTGCACTTTTAAAAAGGTCCTTTGTGGGCGACAGACCAAATGTTATAGAGTTACAGATCTGTCATTCTCATTGAAAGCAAGTCTGATATGCGGTAGATCCATTCTATGTGCACAATTTCTATGCATCCCATCCCTTAAAAAGGCCCACCTCAGAGGAAGTTGCTGCACCTATTTCGGAGAAGGGGGTAGCTGCATCCCAATATGGCGACCTGAGTATGGGCGAGTGGGTGTGCCGAAAGGAAAGTAGTGGGTGTGTCGAAAGGAAAGTAGTGGGTGTGTCGAAAGGAAAGTAGTGGGTGTGTCGAAAGCGTTCTGCTATAGACAGCTGTTTTTTTTCTTCAGTTTCTTACCATGCAACTACCGTACATTGAGCTACCGTACTTCTGTTTTTAAGCCAGAGTCCGAGTCGTATTTCACTGTTAGTTTTACACAAATAATTGTACATTTTCAGTTATAAAACTGACGATTGTTTATCTTTGATTTAAGTATTGATGATGGGTGTACTGTTGCTTCATGCGTTGTGTTGCTTCATGCGTTGTATGCGTGTGCTCAGTGTGACTGTCACCCTGATACTAGATAGCTACTTCCCACGCCGTTGCCGGACAGAAGCGCTTAACATCTAAATCTAATGTCCAAACCTTCCCATGTCAAATGAATCAGTCAGTCAGCACTGTCGGAGCCTCGGGAGTGACTATGAAAGAGTTGCTCACGATGCCCCTACCTGTTAAAGTTGATAACACATGCATAAAACATAAATTCATTTATTCTGCATGTTGTCCTGTATATTTGGCAGGAAGAGATCTTCTCTGTAAATTGGGGATTACATGTGATTGGTACTATGCATGGGACGTACAATATATTTTCTCAACTGCTCGCAGTTGTTGGAAACACAAAGGCAGTTTTGTGTCACAGACTGGCTTACATTGCACCGCGAATTTCTCACCATTGACAAGACATTTATGTTATGGACAGACGATGGACCCTAATTTTGATTTATTCATATGTGTTGTCAACAACAGTGATATTTGAAGCGTGAGACTGGTATAAGACATTAGGTCTCCCATATTCTCCAATAGTAAATTGGCAGAGCTTCAGTACTGGTTCTAATACAAGGTATCAGGTGCCGTCACCAATTAAAAGTCACAAATACCATAACTACTCTCCGGGGAAGTGGGTATCACTACCTTGGATTTTTTTTTAAATGGGCATATATTAAAACCATGAGTGATGAAATCTAAACTCTGGATACCGTTGAGAGAGGCGCAGAAATAACCATCATAGTAGAGGTAAACTTTAAGCATTAAAAGCTCAATTGGTAGAGCATGGCGCTTGTAACGCCAGGGTAGTGGGTTCGATCCCCGGGACCACCCATACGTAAAAATGTATGCACACATGACTGTAAGTCGCTTTGGATAAAAGCGTCTGCTAAATGGCATATTATTATTATTATTATTTTAAAAAGCGCAAGGGCATTCTACCAATTCGTCTCGAATATGATAAAATAAATCTAATCATGGATAAAATTGGGCAGCATTTCCCTGCTGACGGAAAGTTCCAATCAAATATAGAATTCAGAGATGCTATTGTTAGTTGGCACAATGAGATAAAATAACAATCAAAAGCTCAATACACCAGCGTTTTGATGTTATCAACAGAAAAGAAAAACTGATAAAACCAAAATTAGTACTCAGCATAACCGCACTAACCGTACTATTTGTGACGTAAATTGAGTATGTAGTATGCTTATTGGTTATAGATACAAATTCATTGCTTTAACTAATTATGACAAATGTTAAGAAAATGTTGAGCAATGTAATAAAGTAATGACTTGGCTGGCAATTTGTTAGTTACGCCATCCTTATGAACCGCATAGCATATCATTGCAGTAGTATGTACCGGTAATATATGTTAGCTGGCTACTAATATACCAAACTTGCTAGTATATTAACTATATGCTATCCAACTACCCAACGTTTATTGACAGAATTATTCACGTCATTCTTAGCTTAGCTAAATGGTATAGTCATTGTGCGTTATCTATGGACATTGTTAAAGCGGGTGCTTCGTAAATTCGCTCTGGCTATCTGCTCCGATTTCAAGGCACTCGTCTGAATGTGCCAGGGCACAGAGGAACTGTTGAATTTACGAACCCTCAACACCCGTTGAATATGGCCGTTGTCAGTAAACCTTGGATTTTTTAATTTGTATTAAATTGTTGCCAGCAGCACAGTTATAGTCACCAACGCTTTGGATAATATGAAAACAGCCTAACCAGCTCTGCTAGGGCGGTAAAATGGTCAGAATGAGGTGTTCTCTCATTTGTGTCTGGAAGTAGCTAACAAGCTAGCCAAACTTTAGCCAGTTAGCTTGGGTGTCTCCTGAGTGGCGCAGTGGTCTAAGGCACTGCATCGCAGTGCTAACTGTGCCACTAGAGATCCTGGTTCGAATCCAGGCTCTGTCGCAGCCGGCCGCGACCGGGAGACTCATGGGCGGCGCACAATTGGCCCAGCGTCGTCCAGGGTAAGGGAGGGAATGGCCGGCAGGGATGTAGCTCAGTTGATAGAGCATGGCGTTTGCAACGCCAGGGTTGTGGGTTTGATTCCCATGGGGGGGCCAGTATAAAAAAATATGTATTCACTAACTGTAAGTCGCTCTGGATAAGAGCGTCTGCTAAATGACTAAAAATGTAAATGGGTGCTTGACTGCTGTTGTGAGGTCAGAACGCTCAGATCAACCCTGCTCCTTGGCCAGAGCACATTGATAAAATGGGTACGTCTGCTTTGATAGCAGGTTTGAAACCTGTTATCAAAACGAATATTGCAGGGGTAGCAGAAGAATACCGACGCGTAGGGCGATAGGTGAGAAAGTAGTGATTGGAAAAATGAGTGTGGCAGAGCAAATCATGAAGCATCATATGAGAAAGCACAACTATCAAAACAAGAGGCTAAATGTGCACCAAGGTTTTTTAAATCTTGTGAGGCATTTTATTTATTCTTATTCTGAAATAGATTTATAGAATTGACGAAAGGGAGGAGGGGGAGGAGGGGGTCACGAGAAATTAAGAGTGGAGTTAATATTGTGAGTAATTTTTAGTAGACTTTTGAAAGAAACAATTCTGTCAAGCGACATCATTGGGGTTACCAAACCTAAAATTACCTTTTAAAATGGTTGTTCATGAACATGAAGGGCTTTGTAGTGCGGTGGTTACGGAAAATCATGGGGAAGAGAGAGACCAGTCATATACGGGAGTAAATCGTTAGACTCGGTGGCGAGATAAATGTCGCCGTGTGTAAGGGTAGTACAGTCGGGGTCAAAAGTTTTGAGAATGACACAAGTATTGGTCTTCACAACGTTTGCTGCTTCAGTGTTTTTAGATATTTTTGTCAGATGTTACTATGGTATACTGAAGTATAATTACAAACATTCCATAAGTGTCAAAGGCTTTTAATGACAATTACATTAAGTTTATGCAAAGAGTCAATATTTGCAGTGTTGACCCTTCTTTTTCAAGACCTCTGCAACCCGCCCTGGCATGCTGTCAATTAACTTCTGGGCCACATCCTGACTGATGGCAGCCCATTCTTGCATAATCAATGCTTGGAGTTTGTCAGAATTTGTGGGTTTTTGTTTGTCCACCCGCCTCTTGAGGATTGACCACAAGTTCTCAATGGGATTAAGGTCAGGGGAGTTTCCTGGCCATGGACCCAAAATGTCGATGTTTTGTTCCCCGAGCCACTTATCACTTTTGCCTTATGGCAAGATGCTCCATCATGCTGGAAAAGGCATTGTTCGTCACCAAACTGTTCTTGGATGGTTGGGAGAAGTTCATGGCTGTGTTCTTAAGCAAAATTGTGAGTGAGCCCACTCCCTTGGCTGAGAAGCAACCCCACACATGAATGGTCTCAGGATGCTTTACTGTTGGCATTACACAGGACTGATGGTAGCGCTCACCTTGTCTTCTCCAGACAAGCTTTTTTCCGGATGCCCCAAACAATCGGAAAGGGGATTCATCAGAGAAAATGACTTTATCCCAGTCGTCAGCAGTCCAATCCCTGTACCTTTTGCAAAATATCAGCCTGTCCCTGATCTTTTTCCTGGAGAGAAGTGGCTTCCTCGTTGCCCTTCTTGACACCAGGCCATCCTCCAAAAGTCTTCGCCTCACTGTGCGTGCAGATGCACTCACACCTGCCTGCTGCCATTCCTGAGCAAGCTCTGCACTGGTGGTGCCCCGATCCCGCAGCTGATTCAACTTTAGGAGACGGTCCTGGCGCTTGCTGGACTTTCTTGGGCGCCCTGACGCCTTCTTCACAACAATTGAACCTCTCTCCTTGAAGTTCTTGATGATCCGATAAATAGTTGATTTAGGTGCAATCTTACTAGCAGCAATATCCTTGCCTGTGAGGCCCTTTTTGTGCAAAGCAATGATGACGGCACGTGTTTCCTTGCAGGTAACCATGGTTAACAGAGGAAGAACAATGATTTCAAGCACCACCCTCCTTTTTAAAGCTTCCAGTCTGTTATTCTAACTCAATCAGCATGACAGAGTGATCTCCAGCCTTGTCCTCGTCAACACTCTCACCTGTGTTAACGAGAGAATCACTGACATGATGTCAGCTGTTCCTTTTGTGGCAGGGCAGAAATGCAGTGGAAATGTTTTTTTGGAATTAAGTTAATTTTCATTGTAAAGAGGGACTTTGCAATTAATTGCAATTCATCTGATCAATCTTCATAACATTCTGGAGTATATGCAAATTGCCATCATAAAAACTGAGGCAGCAATTAATATTTGTGTCATTCTCAAAACTTTTGACCACAACTGTACATGCTAAATTAAGGGTACATAAACATTAGGGTGGATTAAAACAAACGATTAATGATTGGAGGGAGGACGGTGGACTTATCTTTATTTTGTTTGGTTTGGAATTACAACTTTTGTGTTGCTGATTAAGATGTAGCATAGTGAATACTACCGAAATGTACACTTTCTCTTCCAGGAGAGGATGGTGTGTCATTATCTCTCTCTTTGAAATGTTTCCGAAACTGTTATCTTGGGAGAGCAGTTAGTGAAATTCTGCAGTTTTATAAAGTGGCGCAGTGGTCTAAGGCACTGCATCGCAGTGCTAGCTGTGCCACTAGAGATCCTGGTTCGAGTCCAGGCTCTGTCGCAGCCGGCCGCAACCGGGAGACCCATGGGCGGCGCACAATTGGTCCAGCGTCGTCCAAGGTAGGGAAGGTTTGGCCGGCAGGGATGTGGGTTCGTTTCCCACGGGGGGTCAGTATGAAAGAAATAAAAATATTTTAAAAAATAATAATAATACGTATGCATTCACTAACTGTAAGTCGCTCTGGATAAGAGCGTCTGCTAAATAACTAAAATGTAAAAATGTAAATGTATAAAGGTATCCGTATCCGGCCCTAAAGGGAGCTCCCAGATATGTAAGGTCTGGCCATTTGTTTGTTTGTTTTTGTCCTACGTTTTACCACACACACCAACACACCAGTGGAGGCTCCTCAGAGGAGGAAGGAGAGGACCATCCTCCTCAGTGAAATTTTATAACAATAAAAATAGTGAAACGTTTAAAAAGTTATCCTTTTTATATAAAACTATACTAAATATATTAATATGTCACCAAATAATTCATTAAAATACACTGTTTTGCAATGAAGGTCTACAGTAACTTCAACAGCACTGTCTGGGGTAGCACCATGGAGTAGCCGGAGGACAGCTAGCTTCCGTCCTCTGGCTACGTTGACTTCAATACAAAACCTAGGAGGCTCGTAGGCCTTACTTCCTTCCATAGACATACATGGTAATTATGACCACTTCCGGAGGACGTCCTCCAACCAATCAAAGCTTTTGCAGTATGAACTGACATGTTGATATAGAAATTAAAATATATACAGGTTAAAAGTAATGACTAAATGTTCCACCCTTAAATATAGTTGTGAAATGTTCTTGTTTTAAGTATGATTAGTACTTTCTTAGTAGGGACTAATTATTACACTCCGAAACTGTGTGAGATGTGTTAGAATCTACTACCTGGTAATGTGTGAGCATAGGGCAAGTTGAGATTACATTGTGTTGCTGTTTAGCAATGTGAGTGGGAGTTGGGCCGGACGGCGAAGAAGGAGAACTGTTAAACATGTTGCAGGATATTGTGAGAACGGCGATAACTTTGGAATGCAGCCTGCCCTAGCAGGTTGTAGATTATGATAAGAACATGTGTGTGTGTGTATGTATGTATGTGTGTGTGTGTGTGTGTGTGTTTGTTTGTGTGTGTGTGTGTGTGACCAGATGGTCAGGAGAGCAGTTTTCCAGTGGAAAACTACAGCCCGCCTAAAGCGGGTGGGATTTTTGTATGACGTGTGTGTATAAAAGATTGACTCTGAAATTGTGATAACAGAATTCTCAATGAATAAAGATCTCTGACTATTGCAGACTGGGAGCTCTGTCCGTTTCTTGATCCAAAAGCCTTACAACCTTTTGGGAGACGCACAGAGACACTGAAATTGTTAGTTAATACATTCTCTTAACACATGTTGTCCATCCAATCATATAATTAAGATCAGAGAACAAACCTAGTGTGTTGTGCCACAGAGCATTATGGGGGTTCTATGTGTTGAGAAGCTTGGTGACATTGTTGGATAGAGATTAAGAGAGAGTGATAGTTGAGCATTTTTGGGATATTATTCAATTCAAATCAGTTTTTTCAAATTACAGGAGACGGAGGAAGTATATTATAAATAGTTTTCTTGGTTTTAGAACTTTATTTTTGTGTCCAGTTAGTGCAATTTATTTAAATTTGCCTTGCTAACTTCAGTAGCTAGCTAGCTACCAGCTCGAATGTGCAGTTTTCTCCACCAGAATGGTAGAATGGCCAACGCTGCCGAAAATGTTGTGGACTTTTTGTTCATTCTCTGGGGTACACGGTAAAGGTGCATATTAAAAGCGAGGGTCGACCTCTGCCTGAGGTCAGTTTCATGAAGAAGGATGAAAAGGTGAGGTTGTTCAATACCAACTGGTATCAACAGTATAGCTGGTTAACAGGGAGCCTTTCATCAAGCCGCCTGTGTTGCCGGCCTTGCCTGCTTTTTGGAAAGTCTGAGCCTTGGTCGAAAGGTGGGTACAGGGACCTGAAGAACATCGATCGTTCAGATAAACGGCAAAACAAAAGCAGGGAGCATATAAATGCCCACATCAGATTCAAGCTTCTGGGAAAAAAGCTGCATCGATTATGACGAAGGTCTGCGTATTCAAACTGCGCAACACGACGAGAAAGTAAGAAGAAACAGGGATGTTCTCAAGTGGCTTATCAACACCACTGTGTTTTTGGGCATGCAAGAATTTGCTTTTAGAGGACACGACGAGAGGGAGAGTTCCGCCAAACAAGGGCAACTACAAGCAGCTTGCAGAGGTAATTACACGTTACGATTCTTTACTTGCTGAACAAATCAAACTTTCAACTGTCTTTTCTGGGATGTCAAAAACAATTCCGAATAATTTGATAGTTCCATCGCATCATCCATTAAAAATTAGATTAAAAATAGAGATTGATTCAGCACATTTTTTCGTGTGCGCTCAAGTAGGCTTTCCACTTTCCTCCGTTATTTATTTAGCAAAGATTATAACAAATAATCACTCCGGAAAGACACAAGCAAAAATAATTTGCAGCTTCTTCTTCTTCTTCAATGAGGTTTAACAGCGGTTGGCATCCAATTTGTTGCATTACCGCCACCTACTAGACTGGAGTACAACTCCCTTTTATTTCCTTGAAAAATAAAATAAAACAAAGCAAAGAAATATCCTACCATCTAACACTACACTCACAACTTCAAAACATCTATTAATAATTAACCCCACCCTTCTCCACTATTTAAATATACTCACTCCAACCTCATGCCCTTAACCTGAAATGATGGGACATCACCACTTAACACTCCCTGTAACTCTTCTGCTGTCAAGTCTCGCACACCCAAATATCTCTCTGCAGCTGCCACCACAACCTCAATTTTCTTCGATTTGCGTTCCATCCCTGCAGTACAATTAATAACCATTGCTATAAACACTAAAAACCCAATATTACTGAAACATATATCACTTGCTTGCCTATCCCACTGTACTGGTACATATCTACTACTCTCACCACTCCCCCCTTGACCCCTCTTCCTCTACTTTCTTCACTGCCTCCGCATATGACAACTTCTTCTCTACTCTTACCCTGGAAACCTCAACCTGCTTCTCTCGCACTGGACATGTCTGATCCCCAGCCCCATGGCCACCCCTACAATTAGCACATTCCACCACTTTCCCCACTGCTTCACACTCCTTTGTCTCATGCCCTTCTGCACACTTCTCACACCTTGGAATCTCCCTCCTACATACTGCTGCCACATGCTCATAAATTTGACACCTGTAACATCGTAATGTACTCGGCACATAAGCTCGCACAGGATAACTTAATGGATGAAATTTAATTTGCACCCCCCTATTTTAACTTGTATATCCTAACTTCACTTTATCAGGCAAAGACTCAACTTCAAAAGTCAAAAGAACAGACAATGACTCTTCTGTTTCCCCACTATCGCCACCCTGTTTACGTCACACCAAACGACAAGCATCACACACACCGGGAATCTTCCCCTTCAGTTGATCCACTTTTACATTTACTGCTACCCCAGTAATCACTCCTCTCAATGGCGCCCTTTTCTTAATAGCGAAACAATTCACAATTATTTCCCCCATTTGTTTAACTCTGAGCGCCTTCTCCCTCTGCCCAACAGAAAAACAAACAATTATCACCGATTCCACTATACCCAACGCTTTTTTCACCCATCTTGAAACCACAAATGGATCAGCCAAAAGGCAAGGATCCACTTTTTCCACAAACTTCACTCCTACTGTCACAGACTCATCTTTATCCTGACCGTCTGCGCAAGCCTCTGGCTCCGAGTACTTCACCACACTGTGGGAAATTATTATCTTATATTTTAGATGTGCTGTTAGCTTAATAAGAAAGCATTAATGATTAAACATAAAAGGTTTGTGCTGTACTGATATAGACTTTTTAATATAACGAGCTGTGATTAATGTGAGGAATGTTAGGGAGTAGGGTGAGACAGACTTGTGATTCTCACATACACAAACACAGCCTCTTTGTTAGAACGCTCAAGGACGTGTACTGCAAAAGAGCTGACTTTCTGGACAAGTTGCAAAACAACTAGACACCTGGCAACAGTGAAGCGCCAAGGGGCTGGGACCAGCCTGTGCGCCAACGATAGGCTGAGTAAGTCTAAACCACGCTCAGTCTCTACTCTGATAGGCCAGCAGGGAGCGGGAACTATCTCTGTCAGAGTATTTTAAGAAGAACTTATAACAATGGACCAGTTCTCTGAGTGCCCTGCGTGGTATTTCAGTGGACCCGTATATACGAACATCATATTTACCATTGAAGTGTTTTGCATTAATTAAAATACTAGTAAATCTTAGAAGACGTGTGTTCACCTCTTTTGTTCCCAATACCAGATTTGAATTGACGCAACTTAACAATTGGTGACCACCGACTGTGATCTGGTAGAAGGGACTTCGCTGGGTATTGTCCGGCCCATTGGACATCTCTGTCATTGGACGGTGTGTTTCACAAAGAGTCCGGACTACTAAAAACAGGTAAGCAGACACCTATTGTTATATAACTAAAGTTCTGCACATTGGCTTTATCCAAATTAATTTTGTGAAACACCTGTTTGATGTAAGTGAACTAACTTATGAATTATTATACAAATTATTATGAGTAGATAAGCACCATATTGTGACATGCAAACCTGTGGTGAATGTGATGTTAAACCTTGGAACCATAAAGTATTGTTCCACCGGCACGTACCAGAGGGCTAGGTACGGCTAGGATCGGGAAAAATACTGAAATCCCCAGGCTAGGACCACCAGGGGTGGGAACTGGGGGTACAGGGAATTATTGGCTTAAAAGTGTTGCGCTATTGACACGTATCAGAAGGCTAGATACGGCTAGGATCATAGGGACACTTACATTTTAGTCGACTCCAGGCTAGGATCACAAGTGGTGAGAACTGGAGGCGTAGGGAATTATTGGTTAAAGGTGTTACGCTATTGACACGTATCAGAAGGCTAGATACGGCTAGGATCATAGGGACACTTAAATTTTAGTCGACTCCAGGCTAGGATCACAAGTGGTGAGAACTGGAGGCGTAGGGAATTATTGGTTAAAGGTGTTACGCTATTGACACGTATCAGAGGGCTAGATACGGCTAGGATCAGAGGGACACTTACAATTTTAGATAGTGTTGCACTACTGACACGTACCCGGGGGCTAGGTACGGCTAGGATCAGAGGGACACTTGGAGTGTGGGGTGTTGTGTGAATGAGAGTGCGAATGATCCCAGTGTAATAAAAGAGTGTTTGCAGACGAAATAAAAGAGTGAATGCGGGTTACTAAAATTAATAAACCTGTATACCTTGATAGAAAACTAATTAGGAATTAAAGACGTCTGTGGCTGTCCAAACTGTATAATTTGTGAATAACTGTTGGGTTTGTGCTTAAACCCTATAACCCGTTAATAACAATTGGGAACATAAAGGTAAAGTGATGAATGGCTAGTGTGACTGAACTGAAACGTTTGAGCTGATATGATTGAACTGTGGCATTTGATGTTTGACATAGCATAATACTGGTTTTAAATAATTAAGTTGAAGCTATTTGGTTTATTATTTAATTTAACGGTTGATGATTGACCCTGCAAAATACTGGTTAAATAATTAGACAGAAATAATTTGGTTTATCGTTGAAATATAAATATGCACAGACTTTAACTAATTAGGTGGGAATAATTTGATTTAAATAAATAGATAGACGTACTTTAAATAATTAAATAACGGGCGTATATTACAAATTAGGACGAGGAACAGACGGGGCCTGTTCTGACTGGACACAGGAGGGAGAGCCGCGAGGGGAGGGGCTGGAGACAGCGAGAGTGTGGCTTTTGGAGAGTCAGGAAGGACTAGGGGGTGATTTGTGTCGATTAAGAATTGGCTAAAAACACCACGAAGTGATTATTTGAGAGGTACCTATACATTTCTAACGATATATACGTATGAACTTGCTCACCCGAACGTAGACGTACGTAATGGGTGAGAAAGTAGAGAATATGAGTTTAAGGTTATACCGTTGTTTGATCATGTGATGGGGTTTGATGGGTGATCGGACCATAACTGGTGTGGTTATGGAAGTAATGTATAAATAGTGGAGAGCCAATAGGGGGCTCCATTGAACTATTATGGTTTATTTGGCATTTCAATGGGATAAGGTGAAATCTGTATGTATGAGGGGAATTCGATTATGTATTATTATAGTATTATGGACACTCCGTAATAAATAAACCGAACCAAACATGACGTTACTACAGCAATAGAGGATGGTTAATGTTGTTACGTTAGTTTTTAAACCCGATGATAGAGGTAAATACAGAACGCTGTTTGAGAGTGTGTTTTATTTTTGCTACTAGGGGATTTAGTGTTTGAGATGAAAGGGCTGGCTAGTCGGGAGTGATGACGTGGCTGGTTGTGCGACATGGAAGTGGTTGTTTGGCGTGCTTTGAAAGCATCGCGGAATGTGTGGGGTGACTGGCAATGTATGGAGAGGGTCTCTGGTTCGAACACAGGTAGGGACAGTGGGTAAAGCTTTCGCATTGGGGCTATAGACCTAGATTACTACGTGGATTGAGAAATGTGAAAGGTTGAATTAGATAGCTTAAGTAGAAGTATTCTAGAAAGGTCTATGAGGATGTGTTACAAGGTCCCCGCGCCTTCCCCGTTGTGTAGGAAGGAGCAAGGGGAGGGGTGAGAGAGTTCAAATGATAGGAATATCATTAAATGTATGCTTATCAACGATAGCAAGTATTTGTTTTATTAATTAGGGCCTAATCAGAGAGAACAGTTAAAGAAATTGAATAGCAAACTGAAATGGCGATAGAGCTGTTAAAATTGAGTTGAGGACAAAGGAGAATAATTTATGGCTCTGGTTAGCGGGAGAAAAAAATAGAGACAGTCAAGCGAGTTGGGTTGAGCTGTGGGATTTCAAGTGGAGGTCTGAATGCTTGACTGGAAGGCAGTGCTTTGATAAATTCTAATTGTTATTACTTTATTCGATAGGTTTCTTAACACCAGTAGTGTATGCAAATAGTTGGTGAATTCTAGAACGATAATTTATTTTCGTTACGGGGACCAGGGGATGCAAGTGGCTTTGGCTGTTGTGCTGGGGGAATAGCGCCAGCCTGTGGTGGATTCTAGATTTGTTAAATAAACAAACTTATATTTTAAACTAAAGTAATGCAATAGGCTACAATTATAACATTATCAGAAAAAGGCACAATTTAATGTGATATAGTTATTACAATTATTATTAATAGTTATTACAGTTATTATCATGGCCAAAGGAGGGAACATTTGATGTAACCGTGATTGTATTGGCAAAAAAATGAAATATGACATTTACAGGGGGGACAGGAACAATAGAAGGGGAGACAGATTTTCCTAGGGGGTTGATCAAATAATTGATAATGGATCATTTGAATGAGATCACATGTAGCAGATTTAGGGTAATCAATTAAATAATCATTGTATACTCGAGGAATTTTGAGTGGTTTTATGGATTAGTTATGAGGAATTAGATTGATACAAATAATTATTGATGGGTTAGGACTGGGGATATCTGTATCATGTTTTGTGTGTACTACCATCTTTAGATTACTGATGGTAATTGAAGGTTAACAAAAATTATAACCAGGAGAAAGATAATTAGCTTATCTCATTGGAATGTTGCCCAGGGCTAGGGGGAGCAGTAGTGAAGTTAGGCAGTATTTAGGTCATAAAAGTGAGCTACCAAATCAAGTGAGGCCTGGCTATTTGTGGTTGTTGTTTTTCAAATTGGGTTTTTCAAATAAAAAACAACACACCTAGTATGATGTTTATAAAGCCTTGTTGTTTCAATTTTGGGGGGGTTTTCAGCAGGTCAAGGGTGATAGGTCTTGGAGGAGCACGCACAGTGAATTTTATGGAGTTTTTCGGTTTTGGCTGAGTTTGGGGTATATATGATTTCTTATGAGAATGAATGTCATGAGGACTTAATGAACACTTGGGATAAGTAACATTTATGAAATATTTACAATAATGGTAATGTTTGGTATACTATGGGATGGAACAGTTTTAACTTTCTGGTGTTAATTAATCATCCACACTAGTAAATTCTAAAGGCATGAGAGGAGGACTTTAAGATAGTTTATTTTACTAAATTGAGGGTAATTTATAATACTGTGAAAGGTGTGAAGAAGATTATAATTTGGTAATAATATATATGATTTGAACCATAAAATAACAGAAGAGAGAGAGAGCTTTCCCTGAATGAGGGATACCTGTTGCTAGTCAATTGTACTAATCTTGGATTACTTTTACTGGATAGAAGTAAATTGAGGTATTATCAAATGTTGTCATTTAAATTTCATTTTTAGTATGCTTTAATAAACAACAAGTTGGTATTTGAAACTAAATTAATGCAATGAGCTGCAGTAATCAGAGGAAGGCACAATCTAATGCGAAACAGCTATTACCTAGATCATTTATTTAGTAATGAGATCAGGAAGATAGGAGCAATAAAGAAGCAAGGGACAGTCTCAAAAATAAATAAGGGATGGCAATTGGATGATAAATTACCAATATTACCTAAGTGATTGTTTAGGTAGGTGGTAATATTGACACATGGGCAAATCATGTGTCAAAATGGGGATGGTAGGAGATGGTAGGATTAAATAATAAATATATACGAAGGAGAGGACAAAATACTTTAAAAAGTTTTTTGTTTAGATACAGTCTAGAAAAAAAAAAGTCAGAAATAGAAATTGAGAGCTGAACATGTGAGAAGGTAGTTTATTAACCACACCCGTATGTCAGAGGTTTTGTGCCCCACAGGTGAACTAAAGGAGAAGGTGACCCACTCTATCTAACCAGGTGACTGGTGAGCATCCAGTCCCTAAAGAAGAAAAACTGGAAGCAGGCCTGTTGGGAAGGGCCCTATCAGGTTATATTGGTCACTGCCTTTGCCATTAGAATAGCTGAGAGAGCCACTTGGGTCAACGTTACCCACTGCAAAAAGGTAGGCCCACATACCAACACCGTTGAACACACACAGAGTTAAAGAGAAGAACTGGAACCAATAGGGTCTGGGGGTAAACTCTGTTAACGAAGATCCCCTACCCCGACCTTTCATCACTGTGGGGTGTTTATAGAGGTGTGAGTATGGGGTAGTACCAAGCAGAAAGACTGAGGACAGGAGAGGGTTGGCGGTTTTTGGGAATATGGATAACTTGGGTTGCATCATAGTCTCGGCAATGGTCTTTTGATATGTCAAGATCCACCACCAATTATGCTATGCCCTTACCATTGTTAAGAAGTAAAAGAGAAGAGAAGCGACCCGACATACTGACCGTCAAGGACGAGTGGCCTACAAAATGGGAGTCAGAGAAGGGCAGACTGTCAGATTCAAAATAAGGGTTAGGGATGTAGCCAATGGGTGGGGTACATGTCAATAAGCAAATTGGGATTATAAAATCCTATTATATTCGTGTTCGGCCCCCACGGCGGATTGTTCCTAGACTCAAGGGTTTAAATACACTTGGGGATGGGGATATGAGACCGAGGGGGACTGAACATCCAGCGGGGGTAAAGGGAAACAAAGACATCACCAATTATCAATTGGAGACTTAAGTTCGGAAGCACAGGAGAGAATTCTAAACCTTACAGCCCCTGTAACCGATGTGTGGTGGGCGTGTGCCAGTAAAGGCAGTGTAAGGCAGAGAATTCCAAAGGGGTGGCTAGATACATGCGCCCTGGTTCTACTGGTTCAGCTAGTTAGAATTAGTCACCAGAAACCACGGATTAAACAGATGTAGGAGGAGTTTTAACAGTCCTGACGGGAGTATCTCTAAAGCCCTAGTTGGTTTAGATCAACTATCAGCTGAAATGAAGTGCATGGCTGGAATGGAAAGTAGTGGGCTGTTCTCCTGGTTGAACGACTGGTTTGGCAAGTATTCAACTATGGTGGTTACTGGATTTCTGACCCTAGTAGTTGTGTTTCTAATATTAATGTGCTGTACTGCCTGTGTAATTCCTTGTCTGAGAAAGTATGTTACAGATGTCGTGCATACGGCTGGTATGATGCCCCTCCTAGGGGCTCAAGAAGGGGATGCAGACACTGAGTCTAGCTTTCGGAAGAAACTGGGGTTGACAAAAGATGACCCTTGGTTTGCTATTGGTGAGGTGGTGGAGTGACACCCTAGAGGGTGTCTAAATGGGGCCAAAATGTACTTCCCTGTTTGTGTTTTATGTTTTAATAATCTTGTGTTTTGTGTTCTATCAATCCTGTGTTTTATGCTTTATTAATCAAGTTAACCATTGTGAATGTTTGTCTTTCCTTATGTGAAGGTTTGAAGTTCCTGGGTGGCTGGTAGCCAACCTAGTACAAGTTGGGTGTAGATGGAAGGACTGAATGCCTTTTTATTATCATTATTGCCTATTAATAAAAGTGTGATTATTTTTGTTTGTATTGTATTTTAATGAGTGACACCCTGAAATGTCTTATTTGGGGTTTTCTTATTTTGGGTTCACACCCAGTAAGTGTGAAAAGGGGATTGTGGGAAATTATTCTCTTATATTTTAGATGTGCTGTTAGCTTAATAAGAAAGCATTAATGATTAAACATAAAAGGTTTGTGCTGTACTGATATAGACTGTTTAATATAACAAGCTGTGATTAATGTGAGGAATGTTAGGGAGTAGGGTGAGACAGACTTGTGATTCTCACATACACAAACACAGCCTCTTTGTTAGAACGCTCGAGGACGTGTACTGCAAAAGAGCTGACTTTCTGGACAAGTTGCAAAACAACTAGACACCTGGCAACAGTAAACGCCAAGGGGCTGGGACCAGCCTGTGCGCCAACGATAGGCTGAGTAAGTCTAAACCACGCTCAGTCTCTACTCTGATAGGCCAGCAGGGAGCGGGAACTATCTCTGTCAATGTATTTTAAGAAGAACTTATAACAATGGACCAGTTCTCTGAGTGCCCTGCGTGGTATTTCAGTGGACCCGTATATACGAACATCATATTTACCATTGAAGTGTTTTGCATTAATTTAAATACTAGTAAATCTTAGAAGACGTGTGTTCACCTCTTTTGTTCCCAATACCAGATTTGAATTGACGCAACTTAACAATTGGTGACCACCGACTGTGATCTGGTAGAAGGGACTTCGCTGGGTATTGTCCGGCCCATTGGACATCTCTGTCATTGGACGGTGTGTTTCACAAAGAGTCCGGACTACTAAAAACAGGTAAGCAGACATCTATTGTTATATAACTAAAGTTCTGCACATTGGCTTTATCCAAATTAATTTTGTGAAACACCTGTTTGATGTAAGTGAACTAAATTATGAATTATTATACAAATTATTATGAGTAGATAAGCACCATATTGTGACATGCAAACCTGTGGTGAATGTGATGTTAAACCTTGGTACCATAAAGTATTGTTCTACTGGCACGTACCAGAGGGCTAGGTACGGCTAGGATCGGGGAAAAATACTGAAATCCCCAGGCTAGGACCACCAGGGGTGGGAACTGGGGGTACAGGGAATTATTGGCTTAAAAGTGTTGCGCTATTGACACGTATCAGAAGGCTAGATACGGCTAGGATCATAGGGACACTTACATTTTAGTCGACTCCAGGCTAGGATCACAAGTGGTGAGAACTGGAGGCGTAGGGAATTATTGGTTAAAGGTGTTACGCTATTGACACGTATCAGAGGGCTAGATACGGCTAGGATCAGAGGGACACTTACAATTTTAGATAGTGTTGCACTACTGACACGTACCCGGGGGCTAGGTACGGCTAGGATCAGAGGGACACTTTGGAGTGTGGGGTGTTGTGCGAATGATCCCAGTGTAATAAAAGAGTGTTTGCAGACGAAATAAAAGACTGAATGCGGGTTACTAAAATTAATAAACCTGTATACCTTGATAGAAAACTAATTAGGAATTAAAGACGTCTGTGGCTGTCCAAACTGTATAATTTGTGAATAACTGTTGGGTTTGTGGTTGCTTAAACCCTATAACCCGTTAATAACAATTGGGAACATAAAGGTAAAGTGATGAATGGCTAGTGTGACTGAACTGAAACGTTTGAGCTGATATGATTGAACTGTGGCGTTTGATGTTTGACATAGCATAATACTGGTTTTAAATAATTAAGTTGAAGCTATTTGGTTTATTATTTAATAACGGTTGATGTTTGACCCTGCAAAATACTGGTTAAATAATTAGACAGAAATAATTTGGTTTATCGTTGAAATATAAATATGCACAGACTTTAACTTATTAGGTGGGAATAATTTGATTTAAATAAATAGATAGACGTACTTTAAATAATTAAATAACGGACGTATATTACAAATTAGGACGAGGAACAGACGGGGCCTGTTCTGACTGGACACAGGAGGGAGAGCCGCGAGGGGAGGGGCTGGAGACAGCGAGAGTGTGGCTTTTGGAGAGTCAGGAAGGACTAGGGGGTAATTTGTGTCGATTAAGAATTGGCTAAAAACACCACGAAGCGATTATTTGAGAGGTACCTATACATTTCTAACGATATATACGTATGAACTTGCTCACCCGAACGTAGACGTACGTAATGGGTGAGAAAGTAGAGAATATGAGTTTAAGGTTATACCGTTGTTTGATCATGTGATGGGGTTTGATGGGTGATCGGACCATGACTGGTGTGGTTATGGAAGTAATGTATAAATAGTGGAGAGCCAATAGGGGGCTCCATTGAACTATTATGGTTTATTTGGCATTTCAATGGCATAAGGTGAAATCTGTATGTATGAGGGGAATTCGATTATGTATTATTATAGTATTATGGACACTCCGTAATAAATAAACTGAACCAAACATGACGTTACTACAGCAATAGAGGATGGTTAATGTTGTTACGTTAGTTTTTAAACCAGATGATAGAGGTAAATGCAGAACGCTGTTTGAGAGTGTGTTTTATTTTTGCTACTAGGGGATTTAGTGTTTGAGATGAAAGGGCTGGCTAGTCGGGAGTGATGACGTGGCTGGTTGTGCGACATGGAAGTGGTTGTTTGGCGTGCTTTGAAAGCATCGCGGAATGTGTGGGGTGACTGGCAATGTATGGAGAGGGTCTCTGGTTCGAACACAGGTAGGGACAGTGGGTAAAGCTTTCGCATTGGGGCTATAGACCTAGATTACTACGTGGATTGAGAAATGTGAAAGGTTGAATTAGATAGCTTAAGTAGAAGTATTCTAGAAAGGTCTATGAGGATGTGTTACAAGGTCCCCGCGCCTTCCCCGTTGTGTAGGAAGGAGCAAGGGGAGGGGTGAGAGAGTTCAAATGATAGGAATATCATTAAATGTATGCCTATCAACGATAGCAAGTATTTGTTTCATTAATTAGGGCCTAATCAGAGAGAACAGTTAAAGAAATTGAATAGCGAACTGAAATGGCGATAGAGCTGTGAAAATTGAGTTGAGGACAAAGGAGAATAATTTATGGCTCTGGTTAGCGGGAGAAAAAAATTTAGACAGTCAAGCGAGTTGGGTTGAGCTGTGGGATTTCAAGTGGAGGTCTGAATGCTTGACTGAAAGGCAGGGCTTTGATAAATTCTAATTGTTATTACTTTATTCGATAGGTTGCTTAACACCAGTAGTGTATGCAAATAGTTGGTGAATTCTAGAACGATAATTTATTTTCGTTACGGGGACCAGGGGATGCAAGTGGCTTTGGCTGTTGTGCTGGGGGAATAGTGCCAGCCTGTGGTGGATTCTAGATTTGTTAAATAAACAAACTTATATTTTAAACTAAAGTAATGCAATAGGCTACAATTATAACATTATCAGAAAAAGGCACAATTTAATGTGAAATAGTTATTACAATTATTATTAATAGTTATTACAGTTATTATCATGGCCAAAGGAGGGAACATTTGATGTAACCGTGATTGTATTGGCTAAAAAATGAAATATTACATTTACAGGGGGGACAGGAACAATAGAAGGGGAGACAGATTTTCCTAGGGGGTTGATCAAATAATTGATAATGGATCATTTGAGATGAGATCACATGTAGCAGATTTAGGGTAATCAATTAAATAATCATTGTATACTCGAGGAATTTTGAGTGGTTTTATGGATTAGTTATGAGGAATTAGATTGATACAAATAATTATTGATGGGTTAGGACTGGGGATATCTGTATCATGTTTTGTGTGTACTACCATCTTTAGATTACTGATGGTAATTGAAGGTTAACAAAAATTATAACCAGGAGAAAGATAATTAGCTTATCTCATTGGAATGTTGCCCAGGGCTAGGGGGAGCAGTAGTGAAGTTAGGCAGTATTTAGGTCATAAAAGTGAGCTACCAAATCAAGTGAGGCCTGGCTATTTGTGGTTGTTGTTTTTCAAATTGGGTTTTTCAAATAAAAAACAACACACCTAGTATGATGTTTATAAAGCCTTGTTGTTTCAATTTTGGGGGGGTTTTCAGCAGGTCAAGGGTGATAGGTCTTGGAGGAGCACGCACAGTGAATTTTATGGAGTTTTTCGGTTTTGGCTGAGTTTGGGGTATATATGATTTCTTATGAGAATGAATGTCATGAGGACTTAATGAACACTTGGGATAAGTAACATTTATGAAATATTTACAATAATGGTAATGTTTGGTATACTATGGGATGGAACAGTTTTAACTTTCTGGTGTTAATTAATCATCCACACTAGTAAATTCTAAAGGCATGAGAGGAGGACTTTAAGATAGTTTATTTTACTAAATTGAGGGTAATTTATAATACTGTGAAAGGTGTGAAGAAGATTATAATTTGGTAATAATATATATGATTTGAACCATAAAATAACAGAAGAGAGAGAGCTTTCCCTGAATGAGGGATACCTGTTGCTAGTCAATTGTACTAATCTTGGATTACTTTTACTGGATAGAAGTAAATTGAGGTATTATCAAATGTTGTCATTTAAATTTCATTTTTAGTATGCTTTAATAAACAACAAGTTGGTATTTGAAACTAAATTAATGCAATGAGCTGCAGTAATCAGAGGAAGGCACAATCTAATGCGAAACAGCTATTACCTAGATCATTGATTTAGTAATGAGATCAGGAAGATAGGAGCAATAAAGAAGCAAGGGACAGTCTCAAAAATAAATAAGGGATGGCAATTGGATGATAAATTACCAATATTACCTAAGTGATTGTTTAGGTAGGTGGTAATATTGACACATGGGCAAATCATGTGTCAAAAGGGGGATGGTAGGAGATGGTAGGATTAAATAATAAATATATACGAAGGAGAGGACAAAATACTTTTAAAAAATGTTTTTAGATACAGTCTAGAAAAAAAAAAGTCTGAAATAGAAATTGAGAGCTGAACATGTGTGAAGATAGTTTATTAACCACACCCGTATGTCAGAGGTTTTGTGCCCCACAGGTGAACTAAAGGAGAAGGTGACCCACTCTATCTACCAGGTGACTGGTGGCATCCAGTCCCTAAAGAAGAAAACTGGAAGCAGGCCTGTTGGGAAGGGCCCTATCAGGTTATATTGGTCACTGCCTTTGCCATTAGAATAGCTGAGAGAGCCACTTGGGTCAACGTTACCCACTGCAAAAAGGTAGGCCCACATACCAACACCGTTGAACACACACAGAGTTAAAGAGAAGAACTGGAACCAATAGGGTCTGGGGGTAAACTCTACATTTACATTTACATTTTAGTCATTTAGCAGACGCTCTTATCCAGAGCGACTTACAGTTAGTGAATACATTTATTTTATTTTTTTATACTGGCCCCCCGTGGGAATCAAACCCACAACCCTGCTCTATCAACTGAGCTACATCCCTGCCGGCCATTCCCTCCCCTACCCTGGACAACGCTGGGCCAATTGTGCGTCGCCCATGAGTCTCCCGGTCGCGGCCGGCTGCGACAGAGCCTGGATTCGAACCAGGATCTCTAGTGGCACAGTTAGCACTGCGATGCAGTGCCTTAGACCACTGCGCCACTCAGGAGCCCAAACTCTGTTAACGAAGATCCCCTACCCCTACCCCGACCTTTCATCACTGTGGAGTGTTTATAGAGGTGTGAGTATGGGGTAGTACCAAGCAGAAAGATTGAGGACAGGAGAGGGTTGGCGGTTTTTGGGAATATGGATAACTTGGGTTGCATCATAGTCTCTGCAATGGTCTTGATATGTCAAGATCCACCACCAATTACGCTATGCCCTTACCATTGTTAAGAAGTAAAAGAGAAGAGAAGCGACCCGACATACTGACCGTCAAGGACGAGTGGCCTACAAAATGGGAGTCAGAGAAGGGCAGACTGTCAGATTCAAAATAAGGGTTAGGGATGTAGCCAATGGGTGGGGTACATGTCAATAAGCAAATTGGGATTATAAAATCCTATTATATTCGTGTTCGGCCCCCACGGCGGATTGTTCCTAGACTCAAGGGTTTAAATACACTTGGGGATGGGGATATGAGACCGAGGGGGACTGAACATCCAGGGGGGGTAAAGGGAAACAAAGACATCACCAATTATCAATTGGAGACTTAAGTTCGGAAGCACAGGAGAGAATTCTAAACCTTACAGCCCCTGTAACCGATGTGTGGTGGGCGTGTGCCAGTAAAGGCAGTGTAAGGCAGAGAATTCCAAAGGGGTGGCTAGATACATGCGCCCTGGTTCTACTGGTTCAGCTAGTTAGAATTAGTCACCAGAAACCAAGGATTAAACAGATGTAGGAGGAGTTTTAACAGTCCTGACGGGTGTATCTCTAAAGCCCTAGTTGGTTTAGATCAACTATCAGCTGAAATGAAGTGCATGGCTGGAATGGAAAGTAGTGGGCTGTTCTCCTGGTTGAACGACTGGTTTGGCAAGTATTCAACTATGGTGGTTACTGGATTTCTGACCCTAGTAGTTGTGTTTCTAATATTAATGTGCTGTACTGCCTGTGTAATTCCTTGTCTGAGAAAGTATGTTACAGATGTCGTGCATACGGCTGGTATGATGCCCCTCCTAGGGGCTCAAGAAGGGGATGCAGACACTGAGTCTAGCTTTCGGAAGAAACTGGGGTTGACAAAAGATGACCCTTGGTTTGCTATTGGTGAGGTGGTGGAGTGACACCCTAGAGGGTGTCTAAAGGGGGCCAAAATTTACTTCCCTGTTTGTGTTTTATGTTTTAATAATCTTGTGTTTTGTGTTCTATTAATCCTGTGTTTGATGCTTTATTAATCAAGTTAACCATTGTGAATGTTTGTCTTTCCTTATGTGAAGGTTTAAAGTTCCTGGGTGGCTGGTAGCCAACCTAGTACAAGTTGGGTGTAGATGGAAGGACTGAAGGCCTTTTTATTATCATTATTGCCTATTAATAAAAGTGTGATTCTTCTTGTTTGTATTGTATTTTAATGAGTGACACCCTAGAGGGTGTCAAAATGGGGAATCCTAAATTTCCCTGAAATGTCTTATTTTGGGTTTTCTTATCTTGGGTTCACACCCAGTGGGTGTGAAAAGGGGGATTGTGGGGAATTATTCTCTTATATTTTAGATGTGCTGTTAGCTTAATAAGAAAGCATTAATGATTAAACATAAAAGGTTTGTGCTGTACTGATATAGACTGTTTAATATAACAAGCTGTGATTAATGTGAGGAATGTTAGGGAGTAGGGTGAGACAGACTTGTGATTCTCACATACACAAACACAGCCTCTTTGTTAGAACGCTCGAGGACGTGTACTGCAAAAGAGCTGACTTTCTGGACAAGTTGCAAAACAACTAGACACCTGGCAACAGTGAAGCGCAAAGTGGCTGGGACCAGCCTGTGTGCCAACGATAGGCTGAGTAAGTCTAAACCACGCTCAGTCTCTACTCTGATAGGCCAGCAGGGAGCGGGAACTATCTCTGTCAGAGTATTTTAAGAAGAACTTATAACAATGGACCAGTTCTCTGAGTGCCCTGCGTGGTATTTCAGTGGACCCGTATATACGAACATCATATTTACCATTGAAGTGTTTTGCATTAATTAAAATACTAGTAAATCTTAGAAGACGTGTGTTCACCTCTTTTGTTCCCAATACCAGATTTGAATTGACGCAATTTAACAACACCTACCACCTCCGATACTTCACCCTCTTCCTTTTCTACTCCTGTCTTCAGCTCACTTTGCTTACATTTCCTACCACTCTTCTTTAACAAACTTCTCCCTTTTCCCCGCCATTTTTTACCGACTCAAACTCACAGTCTTCCTCCCTCTCTCTCTCTCTTAGACATCCTCTGCCTCTCCTTTTCCCTCCATTCCTCCTCATTCATCCAAGTATACGTCTCCTTATGATAATACTGCATTTCTCCTGACCAATATCTGTTTTGCAGTCTCTCTTCCCTTTGATTAGAATTTCTACGACAGAGGCCATGTGACCACTTAGCGGACGCGAAACCCGCGTAGAAGAGTGGGAGATCCCAGCTCAATGCACGATGCTTGTATGGTTCCGGTTAACTTGAATAAAGAACAGTTGTTTTAAAGAACAGTTGTTTTCTTTAGTATTTCTTGGACAATAAGAAACAACTTTTAGACAATCAGCATTCAGGGCCGAAACACCCAGTTTATAACAAATAAAGCACTGACTGACAGCTGTCAGTATAACTAGACAGCATGCTAATCTTACCTAGCTAATGAAAGTTATGTGAGCACCATTTCAGTTAAGACAGGCATACTGTAAATCAGGTGAAAATAATTATTTCAGAAAAAGACTACCAGCCTACCTCTCAAGAGATTAGTCCCATCTACGTCGTGCCTATACGAGCTGTTGAGTATTGAGGTTTGTCTCTCCTTGCCTTTTGATAATGCCAGTAAAACTGTCGAATTCCAGAAGTCATTAATATTTGGACATGGACACGGACAATATGAAATAGCTATAATCTTTGTTCTCTCTGTTATCTCAGCAAGATAGCTTATCTATATATCAATGCATTATCTAAATTGCGTCTGCGAATCCGACATAGAAATAGAAAGAATATAAACTCGGTTTATATGGTTAGCCTTATTGAAGCAATGGGCGAATCCGTTTTGCATGGCCCGGTGCCACGGGTGTGTGGCGATTTTTTAAAAAGATCAGTGGAAAGGTCGAAAATCATCAAACACTGGATACTCGGGGCACCGAGCCATGCAAAACAAATTGGCCTAAAGAGTTAGTGGTCAAAACCATTCATCTTGGAGCGACGGGGGGGTTCTAAAATGCAATCATATCACGCAATGTTATTATTTATAAAATTGTTATACATATTTTTTATGCAGACTAGCTCTAAAATAAGTGAAATTTGACAAATAATGTAATGGATTATAATAATTTGCTGGTAATAAAGGGCAGGTGGAATTCTTTTAATTTGCACCCCCCTCTTTTAATTTGCTCCATGGCTCAGGCAGCCAGAGACGGAAGAGGAAGCGAGACTTCCTCGCTGTTTTTTTTTTCTTCGGTTCAATGATCTAAGTAGACCAGACCCAACTGCTATTGCGTTTGTGTATATTGGAGACCCACCCCCACCCCATTAAGTAGACCGAAACTGACAATTGTTTTCCTTTTGTGTCTATGGGAAACCCACCCCATTAAGTAGACCGGAACTGACTATTTGTTGTCTATGATAAAACGCCTGAGTGAACTATGTTCATTTATCCACCATCTTTGCTGTGGTCAAAGATGATCTATTATATTGCCCAGCTCAGGCGCGATTCGCAGGTGTATTTGATTAATAAACAATGCCATGCTGGTGTGTGGTACTATTCAAATAAAACCCAGCCCTGAAACGAAACATAGGCGGCAAATAATTTACACGTCATTGGCACGAATTTGCAGGCCAAAATATGATCATACTTTGACTTATTGATTTACATTGTTGTGCAACATCATGGGTAAGCTCTGGCCATCGTCTTTCAGCTCGAAAAAAATGGATTTCTACTGGTGTGGGTGTTTAGGTTTTGTTTTTGCGTCTTTTTACATTTGGTTTTGTATACCAGCTTTTAAACAGCTGAAAAAATGCTATTATTTGGTTATTTTGAAGATATTTCACAGCGGTTTAGATTGTAGCTTACAATGATTGATTCTCTGTGATTGTTCTCCACATTAGGGTAATGTAACCCCTCTTAAATTCATAGACAGTGCTCTACATGCAAGGACTGTCAGTCTGACATCGAATAAATAGTTATAACCATATTTTGAAGGTATAGAGGGGTTGGTTGTTAACCAACAAAACCGACGTGTGTAACTATGGGACAAAATAGATGGGGTTGGCTTAGGTTGTTGACAAATACAAATGATATCGTCTCCAAATGTTTATTGAAAACAAATGCATTGGCACAATGAGCACTTACTTCACGGGGCATCATATTGTGTTAGCTTTCTACCGTGTTTGAGAAGTCAAAGCCCTTTGGATTAGTTATCTGTACAGCTGATTTCTTTTGCGTTTTTTCTCCTCCGTGTGCTCCTCTTTCTGCATTTTGTTGTCCATTGTTATATCAAATACTTTTTTCCCTCACTGTACAACAGGAGTTCCCTGATCCTGGTGCAGAATATACAGGGTTTCTCACTTCCCATGTTGACTAATACTGTACTATTCAATCACATAATAAGAAAAAAGACTATACAAGTCAAAGTTGTGTCTAGTAAAATGTTTATGCTGAGTGCCAGGTCTCTCTCCATTCAGAGACCTCAATATCAAGCCTGTCTGTCAGTCTGGACTTTATCGCGTCATCTTTCAAGTCTCCATGTGCTGGCTTCATGTTCTGTTACCAAAAGCAGTTAGGATAGGTAATATCTGACACACAAACAGGTACTATGTTTAAGTTTGAACAGGTCAGATAAAACCTACCTAATTATGGTAGGTTTTATCTGACCTGTTCAAACATTGCTGCGGGGACTTGCTTCCATTCAGCTGCAGGAGCGTTAGTGAGGTCAGGCACTGATGTTGGGCGATTAGGCCTGGCTCGCAGTCGGCGTTCCAATCCATCCCAAAGGTGTTCGATGAAGTTGAGATCAGGGCTCTGTGCAGGCCAGTCAAGTTCTTCCACACCGATCTCGACAAACCATTTCTGTATCGCTTTGTCATGATGAAACAGGAAAGGGCCTTCCCCAAACTGTTGCCACAAAGTTGGAAGCACAGAATCGTCTAGAATGTGATTGTATGCTGTAGCGTTAAGATTTCCCTTCACTGGAACGAAGGGGCCTAGCCCGAACCATGAAAAACAGCCCCAGCCAATGTTTGTCTATGGAGATTGCATTGCTGTGTGCTCTATTTTATTCACCTGTCAGCAACGGGTGTGGCTGAAATAGCCGAATCCACACATTTGAAGGGGTGTCCACATACTTTTGTATATATAGTGTACCTGTGCCATGACATTGATTATAGCTCAGTTCCTGTAAAAATACACAGGCCTACATGTAAAATGCAATGAATGGGTACTTTGGGTAAAGGAAATTGACTTGCAAACATTGTTGTGCAAATCTCTCTTCACCCACCATCAACACCAACACCTCTGCAATCCTCCTCCATGCCATTGACCTTCTGATTTTGTCTCTGTATTCTAAAATTATTCTCTGCAAATAAATTAGGTAGAATTATAACGCTCCCCACGCCCCATTATTTACCTTTTTTGACATTTTTAATTAGCAAGATGAACTAGTGTCAATGTTCATTCATCACAGATCATAATTCTACAATAGAAAGGTGTGTTTCTTTCCCAACTGAACATTATGTTTTTTGTCCAGTTGTGAGATCTCCAATCTGTTTTATATGATTGTTACCGTCTCAGGATATCAGCCATGTGGACCCATTTTGCAGCTTATCATAATGGCAAGCATTACCAACGCAGCCAGAGGCCTACAGTATGGTGGCATTACTAGCCTAATGGGTATGTGCAATCAATGTGCCCCTTGTCATTGTACATCTGAAGCAGAGAGTAGCTAAACTCACAAATCATCTGCATATTGTTGAGATAGCTGTAATTAGCCTACAAATGATCAGATCCTTATTTTCATGTAAAGTACTGTACCTATATTTACATTTTACATTTAAGTCATTTAGCAGACGCTCTTATCCAGAGCGACTTACAGTTAGTGCATACATTTTTATTTTTTATTTTTCATACTGGGCCCCCGTGGGAATCGAACCCACAACCCTGGCGTTGCAAACGCCATGCTCTACCAACTGAGCTACATCCCTGCTGGCCATTCCCTTCCCTACCCTGGACGACGCTGGGCCAATTGTGCGCCGCCCCATGGGTCTCCCGGTCACGGCCAGCTATGACAGAGCCTGGATTCGAACCAGGATCTCTAGTGGCACAGCTAGCACTGCAATGCAGTGCCTTAGACCACTGCGCCACTCGGCGCGATTCGCAATACAAGGGTTGGATTTGCACTAAACAATTTCATGTCAGAAGAATCATGTAAAAAATCTGGATTATGGTTAGCCTCATATACATTATCTACTGGTATCATTTAAAATTGAGAACATATAGCTATCTCAACAATATGCAGATGATTTGTGAGTTTAGCTACTCTCTGCTTCAGATGTACAATGACAAGGGGCACATTGATTGCACATACCCATTAGGCTAGTAATGCCACCATACTGTAGGCCTCTGGCTGCGTTGGTAATGCATGCCATTATGATAAGCTGCAAAATGGGTCCACATGGCTGATATCCTGAGACGGTAACAATCATATAAAACAGATTGGAGATCTCACAACTGGACAAAAAAACGTAATGTTCAGTTGGGAAAGAAACACACCTTTTTATTGTAGAATTATTTACATTTACATTTAAGTCAATAGCTTATGATCTGTGATGAATGAACATTTACACTAGTTCATCTTGAATAATGTTTTTAAGTTAACAATTATAAGTTTAAACACTTCACTTCAATAAAAATTGAATTAATCAACATATAATTTCAAAATGTACAAATTAGCTAACTTGTTTGTAAATATTAGACATCTTAGGAAGTAGGCCATTATTACTAAAGCATAATTTCGGGAAAACAATCAATTCCATACCAGAGGTGACCAACCTTGCTCCACTCCCTGGGTCTACTGGGTGAGCGGATTTATATTCCAGCCCAGCAATAATACACATTATTATCAACTCATCAGGTTTCATAAGTTGAATCAAATGTGTTAGTGCTGGGCTGGAACAGAAGCCTGCACACCCAGCAGACCTCCAGGAGAAGGATTGGCCTGCTACATTTGTAATAAGTTTGTAGCCTATATTGTGTGTGACTTAACTGTTTTGTAGTATATAACATGTGCTAACATAAGTACACATACAACCCATGGCCTACAAGAATGTGCCAGCTGGCTCTTGGGACATTCATTGGGACCTCTTCATCTGCAGACAGGCTTTCACAGCTCTCCATATCTGAGGACACAAAGAAACAGGCTTCATTTTATTACAATTAGACAGCCCTGACTATTATCTCCTTGTCTGTCTTCATAGTTTTCCTATCTAGGACTAGAACGCCAGAATATTTGCATAATGTCATCCCACAACCTGCCCTGTCTAACTAGCTAGTACACCTACTCTCTTTTCTGACAGCTGGAGCAGAAAATCCTTTCACCCTCTTCAAATTTGGAGTATGACTTTTTAATTTACAACGATAAATAGTCCTACATCAAGATAACAAGCTAAATTAAGTTAGCTAGCTGATGATATTTCACTTAGCTATAGTATGTAAAGTTGTCTAGCTAGCTCATTAGCCTACACACAGTTGCCTGCTGTAGCTAGCTAGCTAATAATACATTGGTTTTTTAAACATTTCCCAAATGTATTTACTTACTTACTTGAATAGGTTTGCAGACAATCTTTTGGAGTGAAGCGTTGTCAAGCGGAGGCGCCGCTTCTGGTCAAAACCTACCGTTAGGGGCCAAGCTGAATTTCAGTCTCCTTAGGTAGAAGAGGCGCTGCTACGCCTTCTTCGCCTCTGTGTGGAGGGACCATTTCAGGTCCTCGGTGATGTGCACGCAGAGGAACTTGAAGCTTTTCACCCTCTCCACTGGGGCCACGACGATGTGAATGGGGGCGTGCTGTCTCTGCGGTCTCCTGTAGTCCCTGATCAGCTCCTTCATTTTGTTGACATTGAGGGAGAGGTTATTTTCCTGACACCACTCCACCAGACTCTCACATCCTCCCTGTAGGCTATCTCGTTGATGTTGGTAATCAGGCCTACCACTGTTGTGTCATCAGCAAATTTGATGATTGAGTTGGAGACGTGTTTAGCCACACAGTCATGGGTGACCAGGGAGTAATTCAAGAGGGAGCTGAGCACGCCCCCCTGTGGGGGCCCCAAGTCCCCATTAAACCACTAGCGAAATCCCCTCATAATGATCTCAAACTGGGTTTCTAATACACAATGAAATTAAAAACAGACTAAACCTTGCTAATCAGGATACTCTCGGGTATGTTGTGGTGGACTGTCATTACAATTGCTTCACGGGAACCTGGTAAAATTATGTTTGTAGTGAAGCTATAGCCACTTGGTGGCTCTGAATTCACTGTCAGCATGCAGTCAAAGCTATAACCACTTTTTGAGCTAACTAGGGCTCTCAAATCGTATCCTGATGTCGACAGCAGATGGTAGTTGTATTCATAACATAGCTAGCTTAGCTAGACATCATACATTTAGAGAAAACAAGTTGTATTAAGTGGCTAGCTAGTAGGGATGTAACGATTCTTCGATATGCATCGGTCCCCCGGTCCAAATGTTTAAAAGATATGAGTGCATCTGTCTGTGGGAGCCCAAACCAACCTAAATTAAGCATGCATCGGTCAGAGAACCGATTCAAACCTTAGGAATTGCCAGTTCACTAATGTTTTTTACTCGTATTTTGACTACCGGTCAAAAGTTTTAGAACACCTACTCATTCAAGGGTTTTTCTTTATTTTTTACTATTTTCTACATTGTAGAATAATAGTGAAGACATCAAAACTATGAAATAACACTTGTAGGTACCAAAAAAGTGTTAAACAAATCAAAATAAATGTTATATTTGAGATTCTTCAAATAGCCACCTTTTGCCTTGATGACAGCTTTGCACACTCTTGGCATTCTCTCAACCAGCTTCATGCGGTTGTCACCTGGAATGCATTTCAATTAACAGGTGTGCCTTCTTAAAAGTTAATTTGTGGAATTTCTTTCCTTCTTTATGCGCTTGAGCCAATCAGTGGTAGGGGGGGTATACAGAAGATAGCCCTATTTGGTAAAAGACCAAGTCCATATTATGGCAAGAAGAGCTCAAATAAGCAAAGAGAAACAACAGTCTATCATTACTTTAAGACATGAAGGTCAGTCAATATGGAAAATGTCAAGAACTTTGAAAGTTTCTTCAAGTGTAGTCACAAAAACCATCAAGCGCTATGATGAAACTGGCTCTCATGAGGACCGCCACAGGAATGAAAGACCCAGAGTTACCTCTGCTGCAGAGGATAAGTTCATTAGAGTTACCAGCCTCAGAAATTGCAGCCCAAATAAATGCATCAATGAGTTCAAGTAACAGACACATCTCAACATCAACTGTTCAGAGAAGACTGTGTGAATCATGCCTTCGTGGTCGAATTGCTGCAAAGAAACCACTAATAAAGGACACCAATAAGAAGAAGAGACTTGCTTGGGCCAAGAAACACGAGCAATGGACATTAGACCGGTGGAAATGTGTCCTTTGGTCTGGAGTCCAAATTTGAGACAGTGTCTTTGTAAAGCATGGAGGAGGAGGTGTTATGGTGTGGGTGTGCTTTGCTGGTGACACTGTCTGTGATTTATTTAGAATTCAAGGCACACTTAACCAGCATTGCTACCATAGCATTCTGCAGCGATACATCATCCCATCTGGTTTGGGCTTAGTGGGACTATCATTTGTTTTTCAATGGGACAATGACCCAACACACCTCCAGGCTGTGTGTGGGCTATTTTACCAAGAAGGAGAGTGATGGAGTGCTGCATCAGATGACCTGGCCTCCACAATCCCCCGACCTCAACCAAATTGAGATGGTTTGGGATGAGTCGGACCGCAGAGTGAAGGAAAAGCAGCCAACAAGTGCTCAGCATATGTGGGAACTCCTTCAAGACTGTTGGAAAAGCATTCCAGGTGAAGCTGGTTGAGAGAATGCCAAGAGTGCAAAGCTGTCATCAAGGCAAAAAGTGGCTATTTGAAGAATCTGAAATATAAAGTATATTTTGATTTGTTTAACACTTTTTTGGTTACTACATGATTCCATATGTGTTATTTCATAGTTTTAATGTCTTCACTATTATTCTACACTGTAGAAAATAGTAAAAATAAAGAAAAACCCTTGAATGAGTAGGTGTTCTAAAACTTTTGACCAGTAGTGTACCTCTTATCTGTTGTGACTGAATTGATGCGTCTTCTCCTTCAGGTCAGTAGCCTATCAAACCTTTATGTCATATTTTCCCTTTTATTTTGTACATTTTCACCCCAAATTCTCATTACCGAAATCCTTCTGGATTAAATTCTCAGGTAATTTTATACAATAAAAAAAAAACGTATTTGAATAAAACAGAAAATCTGTTGCTGTAGTTTGTCCATAAATCAGAAAAATACAAGTTGAAGTTTACATTAAACTATTATATTTATTGCATACGTGTCTC